CTCCAAAAATGGCAATTCTAGGAAAAAACACTAACAAACGCATACCTTTTTAAAATTCCTTATTTCAAGTTTGTTTGAAAATTGTCATTCCCGTTATCAAGGAATATTTAGGAAGATTTTAAAACTTCATCCTGGTATAATTTGGACATATATACAGCTCACTATACTGCAACAATGTTGATTTAATACTAGAGTCTCCAGATACATGATTCAATACCAATTGCAATCTGATGCATTATTACAATTAATCTGATAATGTAATATGTAACAACAGAATACAGATCATTAATCTAATATTAGATGTTACATACATGTACATGTTCATGAACATGTATGCATACTTCTTGAGAATGGCTGATGCTTACTCATACCATGTGCATACTACAAAAGAATCCTTAACTTAACAATTCACAAAAGTGAATTACTTCAGAAGGGTCCATTTTCCATTAAAAATTGCACTTAACAGTGCAATTGGATATTTTAAATAAACAATCCATAAATCAATCATATTTCAGTTCATTCAGAATTCAGATGTACAGAAAGTTTACAAAGTTTATGTCCAGTATATATACAGTGTATACCCTAAAAGAGATGATTTATACAAAAAAATCCTCAATTTACAACTTGAATACTATACACTATGATTTCTGAACAAACATAAACAACAACCACAAAAAAGGAAAGGCAATTATTAACATGTGTTCTAGAGTATTATTTGGAGAATCATATTCAACAGTAATAATTCCAAATTAGGTAAATTAAGCAATGCTTTTCAACATGTTGTGAACTTCACAGCAGTGAGGGCAGCAATCAAATATTAGTCAGTTCAACATTGGGAAGACTTCAGCAATTCTCCCAGATGAAAACAGATATAAAAGCAGTAGACTAGATGTCTTGGAATATAGAGCTACATGTAGGTTAATATTCATACAAATAGAATTCCAAATACGGTAATCAATTTGCTCAAATTGAAGCATTGGGAAAATGAATATGAAAACAAATATATAAAAATGAAAAATGAATGTGAAATTAACTTGAATGCACATTTCAAACAAATAAGATTTGAGAACACATAATTTATAACAATCTACAATGTACCTGTGCTATAAATACAATGTAATTATTTAATGTACATGTATCATGTACAACATTTAATTGATGTCAATATTCTTTATTCTTCACTACATAACTGTTTATTCTTTAATCTTTAACATTAACTATCTAAATTTAAGTTTGAATTTGAAAAGATAGATCCTTTGTAGTTCTTTCGAAATGTCCTTCTTTGTAAATTCATATGTAATTTCAAAATCTAATTCACCTGCTTTAATATCCAATGAACATGTTACTATATAATTCCTCAAAAACAAACAAAGAACTCCTTCCTCCAACATGTACATCAGAAGTTTTTATGTGATAAAAATGAAATTGTTTTTGCATACTCACAGTTTTGCCAAACTCCTTGTGGAGGTTCATGAAAATATCATTAGCACTGTATGGTCTGTTCAGGCGATTCAGGTAGTCCAAGACTGCATTGGCAGCTACATACAAGTAAATTGAATAGGAGAACAGGATTGTCATTATTCAATCTAAAAAATAATCATGTTTATATCAGGTTAGTTTTGAAACACAATATTTCACAAAAATACAAATTGTGTGTGTTATTAAAGTTTGTTTATTGTTATCATAGTCATACATAATAACAAGTTATAACAAAGAACAATACATGTACATATGTGTACGTGTATTTCTTCTAGTCAGTGTCAGAGTCACTTCTTAAAGGGCAAGTCTACTCCAAAAATAACTTACATTGTACTTACAATAGAAGCAGTAAAATCAGACAGACAAACCAATCAAAAAGATAACTAAAAAGAACGTTATGAATTTTTGAAGTATATGGAAAATGGAAATCACTACACAAATTACCAATTTGGTTATCAGTTTGTGACGTTACAGTATGTCCTCAATATTTACAGGGGTGATAGTGGGCACTAAAAAAAAATAGTTTTCATGATTTAACTGAAACAAATTTCTTTATATTTAATGCATCCACACAAAAACATTACTATCAATCTAACTTGGATGCTGATGTGAAGAAATAAGATTCTTAGGGGGGGGGGGGGAATAGGAAATTTATATTAGCTATATATAAAGAAAATAATTACCCGGTAGTGGATAGTGAGGCAATGACGTCACAGACTCATGAGTGAATTGCCAATTTGTCTTGTGATTTTCAAAGTTTTTCATGTTATCAAAAACTTATAACTTTTTAATTAGTTATCAGATTTTGCTTAAACCTTTTTTGTTGTTGGTTCGTCTGATTTTTCAGCTTCTATTGAAAGTAAGTTAATTGTTTGGAGTGGACTTGCCCTTTAACTTCTTACAGAGCATTTTTTTTCTCTCCTTAATTTATTTCTAAAAAATCCATCATCTGTTTCTTCTAGCTCCTCCCCCTTTCATCTTTTTCTTCTTCTTTGCCTTCTGTGTCCACTTCACCTTCCTCCTCTTCTACTTCTAGATCCTTCTTCTAATTCTTCATCATCATCATTCCTCCTCCTCCTCCTCCTCCTCCTCCATACATCATCATACAGCATCAGACAGCATCAGACATCATCATCATCATCATCATCATCATCACCATCATCATCATCATCATCATCATCACCATCATTACCGTTTGCTTCACAAACAAAAACAAAAACAGATGGCCATGCAAGGCCAAGATAAATGCCCATGGAAATTGTTACTTCGGAAATTCGGGTTTACAGCATGCATCAAATCCACACATTAATTTATGCAGGTGGGACTACAGTTGTAAACTATTCCAAAGAATTCATGCGGTATTCTGTCATTTAAAACGAACTGAAGAAATATCTCACCTTGTGCATCCTTTCCTTTACTCATTTTAAGTTGATATGTGATGATTTTTCTATACAAGAACAAGTAAAATCGCAAACATTTTCAGTTGCAATGACTACTTCTTCGTCAGTCGTCGGTTCAAACTTCCCGCAATCTGTGCACGGCTAGCGCGCGCTGATCTGAGCGATCGCGATATAGTATGCATCATATCACCCCCCCCCCCCCAAACCCTTTTTTAATATAATTAATTTGCCCATTCTATCAGGGATCTCTTGCAACAACCCTTCTGATCAACATATACCCGATATTTTTTTTCTCTCTCTGTATTTAGTTTCGCTTTATAAACCCAATCTAGATTTCTATTTCACATCTCCTTTTACCCTCTGGCTCTCTCCTCCCCCTCTATATAGATCTGTCTGTATCTCTCTCTCTCTCTCTCTCTCTCTCTGTCTCTGTCTCTCTCTTTCTCTCTCTGTCTGTCTCTAGCTCTGCCTTTCTCTATTTTTTGTCTCTCTCTCTCTCTTTATTTTTCTCTCTTCCTGCCTCCTTCCATCCTCCCAATCAAAAACCATGATTTCTACAAGTATACAACACATTTCATTAGTGTCTTCTTTCTTTTTATCTTTTTTTCCACTTTTACAATAACTGAACAAAAAATGAATCTCTTATCATTTCCAAATTGCAAATTGACTAGAAAGTAAGAAAAAAAATCCAACCAGTTCTTAACCACGTTGTATACATTTTATTGCATATTTACAATTCATAGTTCATGAGAAAAAATATCATACAATATATACAATATTATAAAAACATAAGATTTAACTAATGAGATGAAGCAACTTCATGACTTATAAGCATCTTTCCTGTGCCTTTGTTTTAAACAAATGCTTATGAATGAATAGGGCATGGAGGCTCTTAAAGATACTGTAACACTACAGACATGATATAGTCTCTGGAATGAGGAGGATGTGTGCATGAATTAATGTACCTGTGTGAGTTGACTACAATGCAACTGTTACTCAGAGCAAGGGCCATATATTATGGCACTAAAAGTAGTTTGATGTGCAATTAAATCAAGTGAGCAGGCGTTAACTCAATATTGTTTACAAGTAAAATCAACACCTACATACATGCATGTCTCAAAACTGTAGGTGAATTCTTCTGTTATTCTTTCTTTAAGTACATCATACATTGTACAATCAGAAAACAAGGAAATAAAAAGTGGACAAATAACTCATTTAAAACACTTCAAATAATCTTGATTTCATGCCTCTTCTTCTTCTTTTTTCTATCTACTTTTTCTAGCAATAGACTCATGCAATATTAAACCTATTTGATTCATTTATTTTTTGTAATGCTAAGAAGTAGTACTTTTCTAATTGTGTTCATATGTGGAAGTATAAATAAAACGGTTATTTTCCCCAAACATTAATATCATGGACATAGAAATAAGCATGGCATACGACACAACTTTTACAAGTATGTATCTTTTTTTCATTCAGGTTCTAAATCATCTCACTTTTGCTTTTCCATTTTGCAAATGATAAATCCCACATAAGCCTACATGTTTGTCCAATTAATTTGTCTGTTCTATGATTTTTTAAATTTTAATTGTTTAATCTTAAGAGAATTCATCAGCAAAGGGTATATCAAAATAATTTAGCTCTTTACTCATGATCATATTTAGAGGTATTGAAGTCAAGTGGTTTCAGCACTTGACTTGAAATGCAAAGATAGTGGGTTCGATCCCCGACACGGCACTAATATCCGTTGGCAAGGCATAGATCAACATTTGCCACTCCATACCCAGGAAAGAAATGGAGACCTGGTTGGATGACTGAAGCATTTGTGTTAGCGCTTGTCATGTGCCCTCACTGTGACCATGTGATAGGAATACTCCCCAGGGAGTGGAGATGGTGCAAATTGTGTGAGAATTCAGAGAATGGAAAGTGTGAGAGAGGGTCCTTCATGTTGCTCTCCCTCTCTCTTCCATTCTTATTCTCACTGAACATTTAAATTGGCTCTCCCCACAGGTCACATCTTCTTTTCCAAGTTGTCTCCACCCCCCCCCCCCTCCCCCCTCTCCCTCTCTTTCCCTCTCTCTCCCTCCCTCCCTCCCTCCTTCTCTCTCTTTCTTCTTCTCCTTTTCTGACACAGTGTCATTTCACTGGACATCTAAATTTGCTCTCCTCAATGACAACAGTCCATTCACAATATCTTGTGGAAACATTCGCAATTGAGCAAACTCCTCGGTGGTTGAGTATCTTAGCTTGGTAAGAGGATCTGTATACTTTGCCTGCAGAAGAAAAATAGAAAGTAGAATAGAGATACAAGTCAATTTCTTGAAAGAATTAACATTTTCTGATCGTTGGTTGTTTTGTTAATGTTGGAGGTTTATACACAGATAGAAATATTAATTTTTTTAAAGGTATTAATATTCATGAATCTTAGCAAAGTCCAAAATCTGCGGGAATATTGTCAAAATGTGCCGTGTTTTTGTGATGTTATGATCTATTGATAGTCTTAGAAATGATAGGAACTGAAGAAAGGTGAAACTATACTTACTGGCAAACCTGAAATATCTGAGTATTTCTTTGGTGGTTTTCGTGAAGAAGGTGCATCAATACTGCTATCTGAAAATATCAAAAAATGAATAAATACAACATTTACTATCTGACACAATAGAAGATAATGTTGTCATTTCCAAAACCATTAAACCTTCATTGAATCAGTGAATTAAATGCTAAATGACTGCCATTCCACTGACAATATTGCCAATTTGAGAATCGCTTATAGCTATAGTCATCTCATATTTCAAACATTCATAACTTTATTCTTATCGGTCCAATTTAATTCAAATTTTTGCCATTCTGTTAATCTTATTTTTCTACTATCTTTCAAATGAACTTTAAACAAGGATTTGATTACCCTTAAACTTGCCATGTACTGTGTATTACAAAGAATAACGTTTTCATCTTCACTAAAAGTGTTCAGGAACTTTTCTACATTGTGTAAAAATGTGCTAAACTGCAAATACAGGTTTCCCTGCTCTGTTTTCACTTAGGAGGATCAGCATTGGCTAATCTGACAAGAGATCAATTAAAATTCTACCTTGAGTTGAAGAAAATTAATTAATTCAACAGGACCCTCATCTTTGACACTCACATGTTGAGCCTACTGGTCTATGGAGTTGAACCCTCTCAGAAGTAATGATCTGTTTCAACGTCTTCCAGGCCCTCGTCTTCTTTCCAGCTGATGCACCCCCTCTACCTGAAAGCTTTAAGATAAGAATAAAGAATGGAGAAAGCAATTTTCAAATCAAAGGCACGATTGCTTTCAGTTATCACAAATAAAAGTTGGAAAATAATATTTATACTTGGCATTGGAAGTGCATGACTAGCATGCATGAAGCAAATGAAAACACACAGCAACAACAAATATTAAAAAGCAATATTGCTTGTTTTCCCTCACTTCAAATATCATAGGATACAAATTTGCTTGGTTTACTTTTTATGTTTGTCGACAAAAATAGCAGAAACACCATTCTGCAATGAACCCAACACCCTCAACAGATGTAAAGAATCTTTAATCTCAGTAAAAGATCATTTGCCGATAAGTAAACACATGTGTAGAAATAAATCCATATCCACATAGTAACATTGTATACTTAATTCGCAAAATTGGAGAATAGTAGATGTGAAATTGTGTAAATGATCCCACTACTATTACGATACAATCTTTGGAAGGTGTACTGAGCTTCAGAAGAGTATTAAACATACTGTAAAATTTGGATTCTTGAAGATGTGAGTTGGAGGAGGTAAGACTTGAGCTGCCAATTGAGCAGCCGGTTGAGCAGCAGGACCAACACTGGCCTGAGACGCTGGTTCAGACTTGAACTGTCCTCCAGTATTAGAAGTAGCAGGAGGATTTTCAGGTGGAGCGGATGCAACAACCGGCTGTGTGGATACGATTGCCTTGGAAGGCACATCCTCCTTGGGCACTGACGATGCTGCCCCTCTCTGTGATGACCTTGTTGCCATGGTAGCATTGGCTGGTGTTGTGGCAGGAGGACTGGAGATGGCAACTATGTGGGCTGGTTTGCCTGAAGCTGTAGTTGGTGTAGAAGGCTCTGCTGAAGAGTGGGATGGACTTGGGCTTGTGAGTGTGACATTCTGCTGGACGACTGCAGATTTCTTTGCAGGGGTTGTCGGTGGAACAGCAGGAGTTTCGTCATCTTTTGACTGAAACAAGAGATAGAAATAATAATGATACTGATAAAAAAATATAATAAATCTACTGCTACTACTACTACTACTTACAATAATATATTAGATAGTAATGCAGCTATGTGTGCCTTTCACGATCACCCACACATAGCTCCATTACTATCCCGGCTGTGTATTAAAACCTGTTAAAAGGGGGAGGGACTCATTAAGGGCACTTTATTAGAAAGGAAAAAGGGCACTTATCAGAGGTGAAAAGTGGCATTTGAGAGAAAGGAAAGGAAATCTTTTTACAAAGGAAAAAGTGCACTTATTAAAAAAGAAAAGCACGGGTCAAAGTAAAATTTCTAAAAATAGGGCAAAAATTTCAAAGGTGAAAAGGGGAATTTCTCGCACCTAGCTGAGCTGAGTCTACTCAACAGAAAAGAGAGGAAAGGGACAGTTATTATAAAAGAAAAGGGGCGCTTGTCCTATGCACAAAGGGGCACTTTGAGGAACTTGAAAAAGAGAGATCTAGACAACACGAGAAAAAAGGTTAACATAAAAAATTACCGGTGTAGCTGTAAAAACCAGAAGCACACAAATACACACACATCGGACTATGAGAATATTTTGATAAGATATTTATCATGGTTTTCACAGTATAACATGAAGGAAAATGATTAAATATAATAGTTATAATAAATTTACATTTTTCCTCTTCCTTCCTTCCGCAGCCGGTTCTTTATCTGTAGAAACTACCCTGCTTTTTCGTGCTTGAATTCTAGAAGAAGTGCGTACGGTCGCAGACATTTTGTCAAATTGCCAGGCTGTTCGATATTATTCATAAACTGAAAGCAAAAAATATATATTTTTGAAATATTTTGATCATTTTTATTCTTTAAAAAATATTTAAAAGTTACTTCACATATTTTAATTTTTCAAAATATTGAATTTAACAAACATGTAAGACATAATTAATTTTCTTTGTGAATAATTTTAGTCTAGACATTTTACGCGTGTTTTGTGTGAATGAGCGGCTGGAAATGGTCAGTATAAAGTTTAATTGTTCATTAGATCTATATTGAGCTTACTATAAATGTATTTTGTGTGATCTCTTTATACAGAGAAATATTCAAACATAACTTATGATTAGATTTGCTTTTTATATTCATTTGAATCATAATGATGGTGAGTTCTTTCGGACGTGTGCGTAATAAGCCGATGGGATTCGGGGAAGGCAGACGATAGCAAGCAACGCCGCCGCTGGTGCAGGCGTCCAATGCAGGTCTCATCTGGAGATCCCGCTGATGATTTCTGCAGCGAGCAGCACCAGGCGCAGGCTGCACCATCCAAGTTCTTGAATACCTTGAATACCAAAACTTCTGTTGTATCTAACGTCTGTACTTTCTTCTGAATTGATACTGTACTATAAGTTAGCTCTCCAATATCATGTGAAAGTAGGGTGTCTGATCGCGCACCCGATGTTGTGTGCTAAAATACTTCCCATAAAGATTGCACGCATCCCTATGCAGTCTACGTGCATTGCGCGACCATGAAAATTGGTCAATGATTTTATGAAAAAAAATGAAATTCAAACCTTTGGGGCTTGTGATCCTGAAGGTGAAACTCAATAAATGAGGTGTCATATGAAAGAGCAGGTTTTTCTCCATATTCCCCAAAGGGGCGCACCCCCCGAAATTCTAAAAATATCTTGGTCAAACTCAAAACAGCGATTTAAATGTTGTTTGCATCCTAGCTCCAAAATTTGCTACTTTCCTGAGCTGCGCCCCCCGGGCTTATGTCCGGCTAGACATAAGGAAAATATGTATGCACTTATTTTTTCGCTAGCCCCAAGAGATCACTCGCCCCAACAGTTTAAAAATACCCTTCCCACATTTTTGGAATCAGCTAATTAGGGAGGCGTGAGCTCCGCTCAGTCCAAACCATGGTTACATCGCTTAACGTGCGCTTATAGTGAATGAAAGTATGGATGGCCGTTCCCACCATAAACCCCGGAAGTGAATACACATTATAGTCAATGGCAATATCGCGGAGACATCTCCGCGATATTGCCATTGACTATAACGTGCATTCACTTCCGGGTTTTTTGTGCGACGAACGCTAACCATACTAGTCAATGGCACATGTCGCGGAGACAGCGTAGCTCAAGCTTGCAAGTCGCGCATTGGCTTAGCAGCATGCGTACGATATGCATACGCTTGCATATCGCGCGATACAGCTGTTTGGCTAAATTTAGCAAAACAACATCACTCTGCGTGGACGTCTTTTTCGTCGATTTTGACCAAAATGATATGAATATACCAGCATTTTGGAGGGGCTGTATCTTTTGATTGAAACATCGGTGAAGCTTCAAATTTGAAATGTATTATTCTGATTACACTTGTTATTCAAATATCAAACAAAAATGGTGAAAAACGATCCCAAATTGAAAATTGAAAAATCGTTCAGACACCCTAGTGAAAGTCAAATATGTGTGTTAATTTTGTGTGATCTAATAAAATCTGTCTGCAATCTGCACGGGCACATCCAATTCCAAATCCAATGGCAATTTGTGAAAGAGAAAATTCATTGATTTAAAAAACTAACTTTAATGTCATTATTGCAAAGGTGACACTTTGATTGGCCAAGGTTATCAAAAGCCAATGCTAAGACAACATTCAAAGTAATAATTATTAACAATTACAAAACGCTTAGATACAGCCCCGACATAGCACCTGAAAAGCTCTCCGGTCGCTGCTGAGATATGACGTCACATGTTGAACATGATGTGCACAAGCAGACGATGTCCCATGACATCTCACACAATTTCACTGCCTGTTTTGTCATCTTTTCTTCAGTTATTTCTCTTACTTCAATACCCTCGGGCGAAATGTTTAATCTATTGCCTCACTCTAAACCCCGTGCATGGTATTATTTGGATGAAAAATGCAAGGAATAAAGAAGAAAAAGGAATCTGTCGCTTGTAAACAAAATAGGACGCCATTGTATTTTCAGCTGCATACACCGCGGCATGTTCGGCGTTTCAAGAGGGACCAAATGACGTCCATGCTATCATTCCGGAGGTTTTTTAATTTGAAAGTGTGGTTTCTTTGATTGTTCATTAACCCCTATCCTGTGTATTTTCAAACAAAAGAATTTAGTTTTCAGAATGGGGGTCATATCCCTTTTTGAATGGTGTAAAATTCCATCACATTTATATACACTAAACTCATTATAATTTGAGAAATAAAAGCATTGCAATTATGTTCATTCTTTAAGGGGTGTCGTCTGCTTGGGCAGGGTTGGTTCATATTGTGACGGCATTAACACATCGTTATTTTTTCCGCCGAATCTCTCGCATATCCCAGATGCTATAGAGGTTGTTTTATTTGTATTTTTATAAATCACCCGATATGTAGTTGAACTAAAACTTGCATGATGGCCATCTGTTAACGTACCAGTTTCTAGTAATACGCTATTTGCCATATTTGTGATTTTCTATGAACCCGCACTTGAAACTCGCTCCCAGGCCAATCCAATGACAATTTCCCCCTAAATTTCACCTTAATTTTGCCACTCCTAAGACCTAAGACCTAAGAGTAAGACTACAAGAGACTAAACCGGTATTTGGTTGTGTGTGTGATCATATTTTTCATAACAAAGATGTGTGTCATGAAAACAAAAGTAGACTGTGAATTTTTGAAGCAGACTGTCACAAATAGGGGTATTTTTTCATGAGTAGTCTGTACATCATATTTGTATTTTGAGCCAAGGTAAGGTAATTCATTTGCAGCAAACGTTAATACAGGAAATTGGTAGCCCAAATGGAAGACGGTCTCCCATATTGGCTGAGCGCCTCTGCTGTCTATGACTATGATAAAAAATGTGGCGGCTTTGGACCCGAGACTCCTGCATGGAGATACCTTACTACAACACACCAAAAAGAAAGAGATGCTATGAAATTGGCAACAATAGTCAAATTTGACTAATAGCCATTATAATACCAAACGAACCAAACGAACAACAACAACAAGAACACCAAAAATCATCTAAATCTTCAACAATTGTTCAAATAACGGTCATGATTTAAAAGTTTATTTTTCGTGCCTGTTTTGTGTCAATTTTCTTATCTTTTTTTGAGTATTTTTCCTGAAAACAATATTTAATATACACTTTCTCTCAGGTTTCATGACAACTGCTGCACAAAATAAGTGCATACCGACAGTAGGCCTTGTTGCGTGCGTGCACGTGTGCGTGAAGTTAGCGACCATAATAATCATCATTATAACATTAATTCATAATGTGCATTACTTGCATGAATTTAATGAGGATTCGAGATAGCACCCGGCCTACTGTCGGTATTCACTTGAACCAAAAGCTCATTTATGAAATGCAACATGTATTTTTAATGTAGCACTTTTTACCTGTCCTTTTGACCTTTGATTTATTTTTAGTCTGGACCAGGAAACCAGCCACCTGGTGGGGGGAATCCCCCTTACAACCCTCAGGGACCCATGATGATGCCACCGTTTGGGGTAAGAGTAATGGGCAGCGTTTCATGAAACCGTTGTAAATACAATACAATGACATCCCATTGAAACTCGTGTTAAACTTAATACACACGTTTCGATGGGATATCGGTGAACCTGTACTTATGACGGTTTTGTGAGACGCTGCCCTTGTTCTCATTATTTTATTTTTTTATTGTTAACCATTCCTGACAAATGTTAGCACCCCCATTTCTAGCACTTTAATAGATAGACGTAACTTTTATCTGTGGATAAGTCCTTGTGGTATCATTCTACACTGCACTTGAATTGTTGTGGTATGAATCAATGTTGCATGTTACTTGTAAAACAGCCAATTTTACACTTGTGATGAAAACAAACATTTACTTGAAAACCATTTTTTAAATTTGGCAGAGCTAGATGCACAGGACAACAATATAGATACTAAATGGGATTTTGTGTTGTGTCGATGTAAAGGTTACAATTATATTAACTAAATTCAAATAATTTGTGCAAAACATGGTTTGATGGTTTATTGAATTGTACATGTACCACATCTCAAATGGTCCAATTCAAAATGGGTTGTCCAACTTTGGTTTTGCCTTTTGAAAAATTAGGAACCATTAAACAAAAATCTTTAGTAATGTTTTGTTCTAATTTATATTTCTTCTGCTATGTCTCTCAATAAAGGGACCAGGAATGCCCCCACCACCATTCCCCATGCCAGGTCAGGGGCCTCCCCCAACAGGTGGTCCGCCACCCCAGGGAGGGCCAGGAGGAGGACCCCCTATGAACATGCCCCCACCCAACTATGGGCAGCCCCCTCCTGGAATGCCTCCTATGCCCCCTCCCATGGGCATGCCACCCCCCGGATGGCCCACTGCTCCCAACATGGGGATGCCTCCAATGATGCCGCCAGGATTCCCTCCAGGTAAATTATATCATACTTATTATGAAGAGGAGGAGGAGGATATTGATTATGATTTTGATGGATGATGATGATAATGGTGATGGTGATAAATGATCATAATGATGATGACAACATTGTTGATGGAAAGGAGGAAGAGATGGATAGTAGATGATGATGATGATGATGATGATGATGATCAATATCAAAATTATATCATTCTTATGATGATGGTGATAATGATAATTTCCTCCAGGTAAATTATATCATACTTATGATTATGATGATGATGAAGAGGAGGAGGAGATTGATTATGATGTTGATGGATGATGATGATTATAATAATGGTAATGGTGATAAATGATCATAATGAGATGACAACATTGTTGATGGAAAGGAGGAAGAGGTGGTTGGTAGATGATGATGATGATGATTTTATTGTCTAATTGACTGAGCAAAGAAATCAGTGAGTACAGCAACAAAGATATACATAGATGCCGAGAAAAGAAGAAGATGAAATAAATAATCATCTCCCAAAGATCATCTTTTCCAATCCATATATTCTTACATTAATAAAAACAATGATATACAGCAAGATAATGAAGTGCAAACTTTCAAAAGTTAAAGAACAGTGATCATTGACCTTCAGATTAGAAAGAGAAAATGTGAAGAAAAATATGTGCAAGCTAGTAAAGTCACTTTATGATGATGATGGTGATGAAAATGATCATGCTGAATTGAAACAAAAACATAAATTAATCAGAAAATGTTCAATTTCTTTTCCATTCAGGTATGTTTCCACCTGTTGCGCCTCCCAGTGTACCACCAACATCTACAATTCAGCCTGCTAAAAGCACGTCTTCAGATGCCTTGGGTAAGTCTCAATACAATAATGATTCAAGGGAGTGAATGTAAATACTTTTTGAAATTTCACAAGTTAATACAAAATCAATGGTCTTTTCAGTAAAAAATACCTAAGTGAGATCGACAAGGCCGACAGAGCAAACCAAAAATTGAGCTGAATGACCAAGAAGAATCAGTTGAGTTGGAGTCAGTGTGAAGTCAATTTGGCAGTGAGAAGGAGGTAGCAAAGGGCATATAAACACTCAGTGAAGCAATTGTACAAAGAATGACGGATCCATGTTCCTATTGTATTCTTCTGCAATGACTTGTAAATATGGATGAAGTATAATCTGTTTTTGAAGCAGAAATGCATATTTTATGTTTGTGTGCTCATGGCTAGATAGACTCGTAATCTTATCTGTTTGAGCTGGAAACACACTTCGTCTTGTGTGCATATGCATTTTGAAGCGAAAGATGTGTGGTTATGTGTGGCTAAGCAGGCCGAGCCCAGATCATCTATTTGTTTAGCTAAAGATGAAGTGATAAAATTCCTTTCATGAAAAAAATGCAATCACATTGTGTCAAGTTTTCAATCATTATCTTGATTTCTTGTTACAGCTTTAACTACTAATGGGTCAGACGCATCAACAAAGGTGAGTTGCATGATAAAGTTCACATGATTTCAGGTCTGGATTTATTTTTTAGCGCTAAATTGATCACGTGTTGTTCACCAAATTGGCAACATTAACATTTTCTCTTATTGCTACATTGTTAGCATCAAATTCATTGTCTCTGTAAATAATATATACATAGGCAAGAATGAGAGCAATATGTTGAAAAAAATAACGAATTTTGAGTTGAAACAATGAATTTGAATCTCTTGAAGTGTTGCCAATTTAAAGAGTTTAAAGCTTAATTTCTTTTTTTAAATTTCTGGCATCAAACGCAATATAGTTCTTAAACAAAAATGGATGCAGTTTGTGTAGGAATCTTGCCCCTTCTCCAGTGTTATCTATTTAAGGCTCTGAATCAAACTTGAGCAAAACCACAAAATGTGGAATGATTGTCTTGAAAGGGTTAAGCTACACAATATATCAGCGAAAGCGTTTCCTTTAAACATGTCAAGGAATTATGTCCTTCTCTCACATGTTTGTCCAAAAGTTGGGTTTATAATAACATACCTCTCCCTAGCACAAAAAAGGTTTACATTGTTTTCAGATTACCAACCTAGAAGTTATGGAAACATATAATGTTTGACCCCTTACAACCATTAGTCTAAATTTATTCTGACTTTTGTTCTTTGCCCAGCAGCCCTCGTCATCAGGAGACAACAAACCCGGCGATGGCAAACTGGCTCAGAAGGAGACGGTTCAGGGAAGCGGTGATGAAAAGAAAAAGGTACCACGGATGCAATGCTGTAATGTTATTGTTTATGGAACCAATACCCACAGAAGTTTTATCTATCTGTATTCAAAATATCAGATTTGAATGTTACTTCTGTATAGAGATTTTGCAAGGTTGAAGACGCATTAATTAAATGTAAAAGCAACTGTATCGCTTGCATGCACACGGAAGTGAACTTTAAACCGTAACCATTTGATTGTATCAGCTAATTGAGGATAAGATATTCTGTCTCCAAATGATGTGCAAATTGTGTGATGGACAACTAAAGTATTGCTTAGTTTGACGTGTTGTTTGAGGAATTGTTGGGTAGGTGTAGATCAAATTGATTTTGAAGAAACATTAATTTCACAGTTGAACTATTAAGCATCATGTGCGTTCAAATTAATTGAAATAATACTGTTGTTTGTTCATTATGTTTAATATGCTAGTGGCATGTTTACTTTCTCCGGAACAATAATCATCTTTTCCTCTTTTGTAGCCATCTGCTATTCATTTCAACCACTATATTTTTTGATCTTCCATAATGGCTGTCATTTATTTACTTCGTCCTCACTGCCTTCTATTTTATGCATCTAACGCAGAAGACTCAATGGACAGAGCACAAAGCTCCAGACGGGAGGACATACTTCTACAACAATCTAACCAAGCAGTCCAAATGGGAGAAACCTGATGACCTCAAGACTAAAGCTGAGGTAAGTAGCAGTTCTTACATGTTTGCAAACATTTAGCACCATTGGCCCAAATTCACAAAGAGGTTAAAAATCTTCATTTACATAATCCATGGTCTAAAATTTGCACAAAATTAGTGTGACACAGTCAGAGGTTCAATATTAGACGCGCGCAAGGCAAGGTACGCTTATTTTGCGCTAATTTTTAAACCTTCGCTTATGTAAATGAGGGTTTAAACCATGGGTTCAAGTAAACCTCCTTTGTGAATTCGGGCCGTTGTGTTTATGCCATCGTTGCCCTATGCTTTTATATGTAAATCCAAGAACTTTTACATGGCATTGTGACATATATCTTTGTAGTTATTCTTGTTTGTACAGCTATTAATTTTGGCTTACTGTTGTATCAGATATATTTGCAAATGTAAGACTGCCACTACAAGGAAGTTTTGCAAACTAAGATGAAATAAAACGGTGCCTATAAAGGGTTTTCCACCAAAGTCTGTTAGCGCTATAACAAACAAAATACAATGACAAACAGTTATATAATAAACAAGAAATAACTTTCTATTGATTTTATTACCCACAGATCCTGCTGACAGAATGTCCCTGGAAGGAGTTCAAGTCCGACTCAGGGAAGGTGTACTTCCACAACAGTCAAACCAAGGAATCGAAATGGACCATTCCTAAAGATCTGGAGGAGATAAAAAGTGAGATTCCCCGGTTCTTTTCTACATGCTGTCCTTCAGTGCAGCATTTAAAAGGCTTAGGCTTGTTTAGTGAAATTATTCCTGACAGTGCCGTAGACAGTTTGATTGGCCCAAATTGTTATATCGTTTGTAGTATATTAGGATATTTGGAAGCTTTTCTTTCTTGTCTGAAATCATAACAGACTCTTCCTTTTTTATGCCTCCGTTACGAAGTAGCCGGAGGCATTATGTTTTCGGGTTGTCCGTCCGTCCGTCCGTCCGTCCGTCCGTCCGTACGTCTGTACGTACGTCTGTACGTACGTCCCGTTCTCGTGATCACGTTATCTGAAGAACGGATCAATGGATTCCTACCAAACTTTGGTCATATATGTATCTAGCAAAGTCGATGAACTGATTAGATTTTGGGGTCACGAGGTCAAAGGTCAAAGGTCACAGGGCTCATTATGTATGCAAAAACAGCTCGTGATCGCGTTATCTGAAGAACCGATTGATGGATTCCTGCCAAACTTTGGTCATGTATGTATCTTGTAGAGTCGATGAACTGATTAGATTTTGGGGTCACGAGGTCAAAGGTCAAAGGTCACAGGGCTCATTATGTATGCAAAACGGCTCGTGATCCGTTATCTGAAGAACCGATAGATGGATTCCTGCCAAACTTTGGTCATGTATGTATCTTGCAGAGCCAATGAACTGATTAGATTTTGGGGTCACGAGGTCAAAGGTCAAAGGTCACAGGGCTCATTATGTATGCAAAAACAGCTTGTGATCGCGTTATCTCAAGAACCGATTGATGGATTCCTGCCAAACTTAGGTCATGTATGTTACTTGCAGAGCCGATGAACTTATTAGATTTTGGGTAACGAGGTCAAAGGTCAAAGGTCACAGCGCCCATTATGTATGTAAAAACAGCTTGTGATCGCGTTATCATTAGAACAGATTGATGGATTCCTGCCAAACTTAGATCATTTATGTATCTTGCAGAGCCAATGAACTGTGTAGATTCTTGGTTCATAAGGTCCAAGGTCATGGGCTCATTATGTATGCAAAAATAGCTTGTGAACGCATTCTCATTAGAACTGACAGATGGATTACTATTTAACTCTGGATATCTTGCAGAGCCAATGAGCTGAGTAGATATTAGGATCATGAGGTCAAAGTTCAAAGGGTCATATATGTATATGAGAAATTGTTTGTAATCACGATATTCTGAGAACCTGTTAATGGATTACAATTGAACTTGAATTTGAAAAATTTCTTCTGTTTTGGTTTGTAAAATTGCTCTATGACGGAGGCATCATTTTCGACTGCGCGCAGTCGAATTCCATCTAGTTAAGTTTAGATATAACGGAACCATGTTTGTTTCACCACAAACAATGAAGAATAATGACAATGCAGTATGATAGTTTAATATGACAGAATCTTATTTGTGCTACAAATTTGTGAATTTGGTGACACAAGATCGATTTCAAAGGATTGCGATGATTGCCACCACCTCCCATATAATCTTGGCTCTCAGCTTTTCAGATTTTTCAATACCTTTGTATTTTCAAAGATTCAATAGAAAGAAAAAAGTAATTGTCTGTATGAATGCATAGTCAAAGAAAATGGATCTTCAATAGGTTTTATTTTTTTGTTTGTCCTAGAGTTGAACCTTCTCTTCTAGTTCAGAACTTTATACCAGTTTAAACATTAATTGTTGTTCATTCTATTTTTTATGAAATTGCAGATCGGATAGCAGCAGAGGGCCTCGAGAAGTGAGTGTTCTTTTATAATTATCTTTTGTAATGTTTCAGATAGATTAGTACAGATTAAAGATGATTGATATATGTTTACCTTTTATTGTTGAATTATATTCAATTTAATTCAAGTGTTCCATGTTTCAAGATTTAATAATTTAATAGTTATACCACAGACTTGCGGGTGCACCAAGTGAGAGAGAGAGAGAGGGAGGATTGAGGAGTCCTGAAAAGGACTCTCTGTAATCTTTCTTGATGGTGTGTAGTCCTGAAAAGGACTGTTGGTGTAGTCTTGAAAAAGACTGTTGGTTATCTTTCTTTAATAGCTTATAGTTCTAAGGAGAACTATAGCGTTTGGAGAGGATGAGTGGCGGGAGTGGCTCGAACAGGTTGACTATCCGTCGTCAGGAGTCTCAATCCTCCCTCTCTCTCTTTCACACGGTACACCCGCAAGCCTACTGTATATCTACATCACCATGCAAGCTGATACTTACAAGCAGCATGAAGTAGTTATTACTATTTTCTTTTTTAGGAATAATTGGGAATTTTTTCAAAAACCATTGTAAGTACAAATTTGCAGACATCCCATTGAACTCTCTTTTAATTTTGATAAATTTCAATAAGATATCAGCGGAACTTGTACTTATGACAGTTGTGTAAAATGCTGCTGCCCTTTTCTCTTAGTCACTTAAAACACACCCCAAAAGATAAATCTGTCCTATTTATATTAGGGGATGACATAATGTATCATATGGAAAAGGCAGTTATCACTCACATCAGTATCTTTATGGTAATAAATAATATATAATATTTACCCAGGGTCACTACAGTAGTATTAATTTTGCTTTTCCTGATGATCCTGCAGCTAATGTTACTCCAAACATCACCAGGGCCCTGTTGCATGAAACTTTTTATTGATGGTAACTTTGCCATCAGTGGCAACTACCATGGTAACAGGGCTCTACAGCCAATCAAAATCAAGGTTTCCATGATAGTTACCGTTGATAGCAAAGTTACCATCAATGGTAAGTTTTGTGCGATGGGGCCCAGGTACGCATTTAACACACCTGCGTCAAGAGGGTCAAAATGTGGGCAAAACACCTTGCCCATGGATGTAAGCACCAAGCCAGCATCGAATGGGGGACCTCTCTTATGAGCGGCAAGAGCCTTCAGCAAAACACCACAGTGCTCCTACTTTTTTTAAATTTTTTATTTATATGTTTTATTGAACACAGTGCTCCTACTTGTAAAAGGTGTTAAAATATTATCATTACATTTTCTGTTGTCCTTGTGAATATATCTAGGTTACTCCCCGGTTCTCCAGATGACTCCGGTAGCACACCAGTTGACAAACCTGAGGAACCAGCCACCAAGCAGGACGCCCGAGACACGCCCACCTCCCAGGCCGAGGCAACCCAGCAAGCTGCAGCCGTGCCCTCAGCCACCCCTGCAGCAGTGACGGGGGCTGCCTTAGACCCAGCAGCCATCATGGGGATTCCCCTGCCGGGGGCTCCCATGCCTGGTGTGCCGCCGGGTATCCTACCGTTCATGGCGGCGCTGGGAATGCCCGTGGTGCCTGGTGCCGTGGTCACACCCAAGACGGATGAGGACGCTGGAAGGTGAGTCATCAGTTTTAAGCGATTGCAGCAAAAAATAAATTGAATATGTACATCATGCTGTTATAGGCTTAGGCTTGCTTGGGTTGCTAAACCAGTAATATATTGCTGTGGGGACCAACAAGTTCAGTTTTAATAGCTAGTCTGGATTAATCGTTGAGTACTTACAAATCTAGTTACTTTTTTAATGTTTGTGGAGTCATTAATATGAATAAAACATTGCATGCCTGTCATGATCTTTAGTCAACAATTAAAAGTCTCATGTGCCTTAAAAAGATCACCTACCGAATCAAGTCCTGTACATATTTTGTATTCTTTCCCAACACAAACAGACATCCAGGACCAAAGAATGCCCCAAAACTAAATGTTGGAACCCTTCAAACAATTTATAATGAAACCCTGTCTATGACACTTAGTTTTTTAGCCTCCCTATATACAAGTATACTTATTTTTACTGTGTCATGGCCATCAATTTCAGAGAATTATGTTCATATTCAAAGTTAGTCTGATACTGTTTTCTAAGCTTGTCCTCCCTGTCCTATCAATACAGTGCAACAGAGTCTAGACCAGACACTCCAGAACTGAAAGAAGTGGTCTACAATACCAAGGAAGAGGCAAAAGATGCTTTTAAACTTCTTCTGAGAGAAAGAGTGAGTAGCCAGCCCTGTGATAATGATTTTAACTTTGATATTTGATCAAATTATACTATTTTACCCTCTATTCATGTAAAACAAATGTTTTTTTAAGGCTTGGATATAGGAAATTTATTGATTGATGGATTATTTTATGTACCTGACTGCCAAGAAAGCAAGCAAATGGTTGCAGGTAAAGAACTAGGAAACTAAAGCCCAAATACTATCCAAGGAACATGGTAATTAGGATTTTTTGTATGTATTTTTTTTTTTGGGGGGGGCAACTATTTTCAGTTACGAACAAAAGCTAGTTCAGGTTTTAACATACTATTGTTGACAGCTGGTCAACACCAGCCGTCTCAAGAAAATTCTCAAATAGGCCATATCAAATTGATTTGCCGGTGCTCAGATGATGTCATGTGTCACTAATCTATCAAAAAAATCAAATTAACTAAAGGCACTTAACACAAGAAAACAAGTTCAAGTTCTGTTTATGTGTGGAACACACAATAGGGTACAACGTAATCGTGAAGAAGGATACACTTTTACCGGAGAAACATGACAAAAAATCATTTAGATCTAAATGCAAGTCTCACCCTACCAGAAGAAAATGTAAAAGAAAAAACATCACCGTGGCCCGTTTCATAAAACTTGTTATCTATAACAACTGCTAAATTTCTATGAAAAATTTGCTCTCAGCCAATCAGATGCTATGATTTCAGTAGCTTATAACAGTAGCTTGTAACTTGTTATTGATATCAAGTTTTATGAAACAGGGTCCTATTAATGCAATACCAAAAGATGCTTGTGCTTCAGTTTGTTTTCCAAATAGGATCTCCCAGTTATCAGACAAGTTCTTCACCACTGAAATTGTAATGTGATCATTTGCTTGCTTTCAGTATCTGGAACAAAAGTTTAATGTCCAATTTTGTTGTTGATGTTCACAGAGTGTTCCATCAACTGCTAACTGGGATCAAGCCATGAGACTAATAGTGAACGACCCTCGATACAAGTAAGTGTTTAAAGGCATCGTTTAACAATGTTAAATCTGAGATGCATGGCCCTACGTGTTATCAGTGTCTGTGATATGGTGTAATATTAAAGCCCTTCAAAAATTGCGCTCCAAATGATCATGAAATGCCTCAAAAAAAGTAAAAAAATCTTTACCATACTCATTTTCCCCATTAGACTGTATACCTATAAAAACTATTTGGAAAACCAAAAATGAATTTTGATTTCCAATCATTAATATCTTGATAATCAGATAGGGGATCGGCTTGAAGTCATGGGATTCCTGACTGACCTAAAGGTTTATAATTATGATTGCAGCATGAGCTAAATCCAGGATTTTGTTTCAGAATCTGAGGTAATGTTACCGAGTCACACCCATACCCATCTATCAAGAGAGGATTATGTCTTTAGCCTAAAGGGACTTGCCTGTTCACTCTGTTATGGTTTGGGGGTATAATTCTGCACTTGTCTCCATTATGCAGTTGAACCTGTCTATAAGGACCTCTCAAGGGAGACAAGAAAAGTGGTCTCTATAGGCAGGTGGTCTTTATGTACAGGTTTCAATGAGAAACAGAGTTCAAGGGAAACGTAAAAAGTAGTCTTTATAGACAGGTGGTCACTAAAACAGATTTGACTGTAATACGTTCAGCTGTAAAGCATCATTTGGCACCGGATTTTGAAATTCTGACAGTTTGATGTCTGTGCATGGTAAAAATCTTGGTGCTGTTAGTCTTATAAACCCTCTTGCTCCATTTGTCTAGTGCAACCAAAATATGCTTACTATGGATAGGAGACTAATACCTTGTTCAAGTATGATGCTGCAGAACCGCGATGATTTGTTTGTGATGAAGTTACAGCTCTTTGATACAAAAAAGTATAGCATATATGCTATACTTTTTTGTATCAAAGAGCTCAGTGAATATTGCAGGATTTTTTTTGTTCTATGTATTGATTTCTGTAAATTCTGGAATAAAGATACAAATTTGGGATTCAAATACATTCAACATTATGAGAAAAACTCCACCTGGTGGTCATAAATTCCAACATTATTTATTTGTTTAAACAGTCAAGGGGAGGGCCTTGGTGTTGGTGATGAATGGACTGACCTTCATTCATTCCTTTGTCCATTGTCCTTGAGTGTGATCATTTCTGCCCAGATATGTAGCTGGGATAATGTGAGTGGGAAAAGGCATGTTGAGTTGATGATGGTGCATCTTGTAAAACAAAGTGGACTGTGCAAGAAGCCTGCGATTGTGAAGGGTATCCCATCCCAGTTTGTTGACAAGTGCTGTGACTGATGTTACTCTCCGGTAGTCTTGGTATACAAAACGGGCGGCAGCTCGCTGTACTTTCTCAAGACTTTGAATTGATGTCAAGAGTCCAAGGGTTCCAAGCTTCACTGCCATACTCAAGTTGAGGACGAACAAGCATTGTGTAGGCTTTGGATTTGATGTTCTTGGTGCACAGAGATAGAGTTCTGCGTAGGAGGCCAAGGGTTCTATTGGCTTTCTGGGTGGTGAGTTTACATTGGGTGTTCCATTTAAGGTCATGGGTAATCGTGACACCAAGATACTTGTATTGTTTTACTCGAGGAATTGACTCATTTAGTAGGGTGTAGTCCACTGTGATGGGGTGCTTCTTGTTTGTGATTGACAATGTAGCACACTTCTTGATGTTGAATCCCATCAGCCATTTAGTAGACCAGTCTGCAAGAACATGGAGATCTTCTTGCAGTATGTGAGTGTCTGAGGGAGAGTCGATACGCTGGTAGATGACACTGTCATCTGCAAATAGACGCATTGTGGACTTGATGTTGAGTTTGATGTCATTGATGTACAGCAGGAAAAGTACGGGGCCGATGACAGAACCCTGCGGTACTCCTGAAGTAACAGGCATCCATGCTGAGCGAGCACCATTGACGACGACAGCTTGATGTCTATTCGCTAGGAGTGACATAGTCCAGCGGAGAGAGTCTCCCCTGACTCCGTAGTAGTGTAGTTTGGATCTAAGGTGTGGATGTGGTACGCGATCAAACGCTTTTTGGAAGTCGAGAAAGACAATATCAGTTTGGCCTCTAGATTGAAGAGAGGATGACCAATCATCGGTAGCTGTGACAAGTTGGGTTGTTGTCAAAAGATTCTGTCTGAAACCATGCTGTTCATCAATGAGTATGTTGTTAGCTGCAAGATGTTTAGAAATGTGGCTAAGCATAATATGTTCCATCACCTTACTGCAGATACACGTCAGCGATATAGGTCTGTAGTTACCTGGGCAACATTTATCTCCTACCTTATGAATAGGGGCTACAAGTGCACGTTTCCAGTCTAAAGGCACTTCTCCGGTATTGTAACTCTGTTGAAACAGAAATGACAATGCAGGGGCTATTTCGTGTGCTAGCATCTTCAGAATTCTTGGATGTATCTCATCTGGGCCACTGGCTTTGGAAGGATTCAGTTGAAGCAGTTGCTTAACTACACCAGACCGGTGGATGTGAAGATGCCCTATGTCACGGGTGGCCAACCTTTTAAAGCTCGCGGGCCACATCTAATGATTGTCATAACTTGGCGTGCCGTAGGCCAGGCGGGGGGGTCGGGGGGGGGGGGGGGGGTAATCACATATTGAGACATACGGGGTGTGCCGCTCTAATGGGTAACCTTTTTTACAAAAAGAATCCCTAAACTTGGGTCCCATTTTTAACAGAAATATCCTAAATATGGGTCCGTGTTTTCAAAAAATTTATTTTAAAAAAATTCAGGGTTTTAGCCATGCAAACACCCAAAATTTTTATAAAATGGGCTTTACTTTCAACAAAAATCTGCCAAAACAAGGCAACCCTTAAAAATGGGTAGAGGTTACGAGGCTTCAGCGGCACACCCCGTTAAAACCAAATCTGAAATCCCCCCCCCCCACACACACACACACACTCATGTACACACCTGCAATTTTGCAAACAACAAAATCAGTCGAACAAATTCAGGCTTACTTTTTTAGTGTGATTTTTGGCTGACAAAATATGAGGCAAAGTTGTTTACCTTTCTCTTCTATGAAGAAATACTTCAGAGATCAATCCGATTTAAAGTTTCTGTCTTCATCAGAAACTTTCCTTTTCTTCGCACGTCTCGAAATCGATGCCATGTTGGTTGTTATTTCAAACAAAATCAATGACACAGCAGAAAGAATATAGGGGGACTATCCACGATTAAGATAAATGAAAAAATTAAACGGCGGGAGAAAAGGGTTGTAAGTTTTAAGACAAGTATGGCATTTCAAACATATTTCTTGATTCACGATCGATTGGGCAAAAAGAATTTCCATTTTCGGTTTAACTTAATACAATTTGGAGTGGATTTTAAAAGATTATTATTATTGTTATTATTTGTATATTTACAAAGGTTACTGCATGTGGAAATAACAAACTGAAATTAACACGGCGAGTGATGTTGATGTCGTTAATGTAATGTAATGAGAGGGAGGCCACGTAACGAATCAATATGTTGTGAATGATGAAAACAAATTATTATGGCAGGAATTATTATGGAAATAGAGATAGCTGTGTGTAAATGTTTTACTCTATTTCATCGCTGTTATGCGGGCCGCATTTCATTCATTAACTATTTTTATAATTACTTTTTCAATGCTCCGCGGGCCGCACAAGAAGAGCTCGCGGGCCGCAGGTTGGCCACCCGTGTCATTGTATAGGGAGGGCCGGTTTATGCAAACTTGATCCACATTGCTCTTGGTGAAGGTAGAACGAAAGTAATTATTCAAACATTCAGCCTTGTCCTTGTTTGTGATATGGAGCTTGTTATCATTTCTCAAGGGTGGTATACCAAAGTTTTCAGATCGATGCTGTTTTACATATGACCAGAAAGCCTTAGGGTTCGCATATAGGCTCTCACCTATTATGTTGCAGACGTAATTGTGATGAACTTGGTGGACACGTTTGGTCAGTTCGTTTCGAAGCTGCCTGTAGGCCTTCCAATTGGATGCACTAGGCTGACTTTGTGCCCTCTTGAACAAACGATCCCGCTTCCTCATTTGCCTTTTGAGGGAAATGGTGATCCATGGCAGGTTGCGTCTGGCTCTTGACATCTTGGATGGGATGAATTCATCCTTGCACTTGTTGATGAGTGATGTGATACAGGTCCAGTTTTCATCAACTGACTTCAGCTCTGGTGAAGATGATAGAAAATCCATTGAGAATTTCGCAACAGCCTTGCGGAGTTTCTGAAGATCAGCTTTGTGGAATTGGTAGATTTTTCTTGGCGGAATGCGGCAAGTTCTTGGATTCCCCGAGATCGAAAAAGCAACGATGTTATGGTCCGATATTCCTGGATGGACACAGACATCGGACACCAGTGTTGGATTTGACGCAAGAAGAAGATCAAGTGTATTCTCAGATACAGGGCGGGTTACTTCGTTAACAAACTGGAGAAGAGAGTTCTCTAGCAGGATATCAAGGAGGAGTTGGTGGATGCTAGTGCGATTGCTGTTTTTAACAACGCACTCCTTCCAATCGATATCTGGTAGGTTAAAGTCCCCGCCGATTATAATATTTGGATGATTGCGTCGGTGTCTAGACATCAATGTGGCAATTGAGTTCTTCGAGTTGCTAGGCAACACATAGTTCGTAGTTTACAAGTACCAGCCCATCATAATGTTTAATTTGTTTGTGGCTGTTTTCACCTCTTGATTTAAAGGCCCATCAAGATTCAGATATTAGAACAGTTATTTATGAATTAATAATGATATTGAGACATCCCACCCAAACTTGTTATTACTCATTTATCAAACAACATTTTGTTGCACTAATTACAAAAAAATGCCTGGCTTGTGAACCTAATGCAAGCATTCCTCAACAATGTGTCACGATATGTCCCGTAACCCAGCTGTTCAGACTTTCCCAGCGCTAAGCCCAGCCGTTCAGACTTTCCCAGCGCTAAGCCCAGCCATATCGATAACAATAATAATAATAATAAAATAATAGTGTAAACTTATAGAGTGCACACACCGTCCAAGGACACTCATGACGCTAGCTCAGCAACAGTTCTCTTTAATACAAGTAAAGTAATAATTTAGCAATATTTATTTATACCACCCATTTCAATCCTCAGCTCTGCCCAGTGGGGCCTCGTGCGTATGCCTTTCATTTTGAGACGGGGAATTTTGAACTCAAAGATAAAATAAAAGACTAGCAGAAAATTTGAGTACTGCAATTTTTATAGAAAATTACAAATGTAATATTTTATCAATACAAGGAAATAGAATAGAATTTCAATACATGACTTAGTGTGACTCCAGCCCCTTATTTCTTTGGTGCCATTTCTAAAAAACCTTTTGCCTAATCGACGAGCCCAAAGCCCAACGTCTAGGAGTGTGGCCTAATCCTTTATGTCCGTCCATACATGACAAGCAATACATGAACAAAAGATATTTCTGAATAAAATATACACATTATAACACTTCGAGATAGTCAAAGTGCAGTGAAGAATGGTTCAAAAAGATTCAATTTCCATTTATTTCATGTAAATCACAGATATTTAGCAAAAAGAGTATCCCTCATGAAATGCATTTCCCCGCCAGTGAATGTTGTATTCCTGGCCTTAACAGCTGGATTGCCTTTTTGAAGAGCGTAGAGCGCTATCATTTTTTGAGAACCATTGTCGCGAATGAGTTGAGAGTTGAACTGTTGCAGGTATTGAAAGACTGTCAATACTACTGGGCCAGAAGGGATTAGACCACACAGCGAGGTTACTGATAGGTGGCTATCTCATTAACTCAGCTCTCAACTAACATAAGAAAAAGAGGATCATGGGAGACCAACAGGCACCGATTGGGGAAGTGTTCTATATAGAGGGAGCAAGTAGCTACAAGTAGGACAGTGGGGCTTTAAAGTCATAGTACGCCAAGTGATGAAATATTTTTACTCTCTGTTGTTTTTGTTTTATATTTTGTCTTATGTCTCTGTTTCTGTTGTTTTTGTTTTACATTTTGTTTTATGTCTCCTTTTCTGTCGTTTCAGAGCTCTGACTAAGCTGAGTGAGAAGAAACAAGTATTCAACAATTGGAAAGTCCAAAGAGGCAAGGAGGAAAAGGTCAGATTATTTGCTTGCTCCTAAAAAAAATGCCATCACATTTAATGTACTTTCAAAATATTATGCATTATAATGATAGTATTAGTGTAAGTAGTAGTCATTTTTGTCTCGCCTGCGTAGCAAAAAGCGAGACATAACCCGCTTTTCCTGTGACGGCGACGGCGGCGTCAACATCAAAAACTTAACCTAAGCTTAAGTTTTTGAATTTTTGATATAATTTTTAAAGTATAAGTTCTTAGTCAATGAAACTTTGACTATAGGGTAATCAAGTATTCCCAATCATGTAAGTAGAATTTCAGATCACAAAGTCAAAGTCAAAGGTCATTTCAGGTCAACAGACTTGGACTATGTTGTACTAGTAGCATCATCATCGCAAACTTAACCTAAGGTTAAGTTTTTGAATTTTTGATATAATTTTGAAAGTATAAGTTCTTAGTCAATGAAACTTAGACTATAGGGTTATCAAGTCTCCCCAATCATGTGAGTAGAATTTCAGGTCACTAAGTTAAGGTCGAAGGTCATTAAAGGTCAACAAACTTAGACTTTGTTGTGGCATCAACATCAAGATTTTCAAAATGCTTCTTCTTCGTTATTTTTCAACCGATTTTGATTCTGATTCTTTCATATGATAGGGCTAGGAGGGGGATTTAAAATTTCTACACAGAATCGTGAAATTCATTATCTATGCTAATTTATGCAAATTTATTCGAAATCACAAAAAAAGGCTTCTTCTCCTTCATTTCTCGACCGATTTTGATTTGGTTTGCTTTATATCGCAGAGCTAACTTTGGTACAATAAAATTCTACACAGAATTTTGAAGTTGTTCTCCATTAATTAATTATGGTAATTTATGCAAATTTATTCCAAAAATAACAAAAAATTGCTTCTTTTCCCTCATTTCTTGACTGATTTTGATTTGGTTTGCCTTATCTGGTAGAGCTAAATTTGGAACACTGAACTTCTACACAGAATTGTGAGATTTTGCTCCATTGATTATTTATGGTACTTTATGCAAATGAAATGAAATTATGTCCCTTCCAGGGCATCAAATTTTTATTTTTTGACCAGTTCAAAAGTGTAGTACATAAAATTTGTGATATTTGTTGTTGCGAGATGCGAATGAGCACTACATCATTGACGTTCTGGTTTATCATATTGAATTGCATTATGCAGGCGAGACCGCCGAGAGTGTTTCCCTTGTTAACCAAAAAAAATAGTTGGTCTTTTTTTTTATTCCTTTGTAGGTAGGTTTGAGTTCATTTCTTGTTTATTTTGTTTAAATTTCCTGGAAAAAAATTATTATTATTTAAAGTGTAGTACATAAAATTTGTGATATTTGTTGTTGCGAGATGCGAATGAGCACTACGTCATTGACGTTCTGGTTTATCATATTGAATTGCATTATGCAGGCGAGACCGCCGAGAGCGTTTCCCTTGTTAACCAAAAAAAATAGTTGGTCTTTTTTTTATTCCTTTGTAGGTAGGTTTGAGTTCATTTCTTGTTTATTTTGTTTAAATTTCCTGGAAAAAAAATTATTATTATTTCTACATATAACATATATGTACATCATTGTTTTCTGTATTATTTATATTATACAGGGCCCCCAAGTATAATGTTGAAATAATTTCAAATACTGGTAAATAATTAATAAATGTACATGTTGTGAAACAAAAACAAACAGAGGTTTTAATGATTAAAAGTAGATGCAGAAAAACAATGTCAACATTAATGAATTCAGGTACATATACCTTAATTTATATGATTCCTATTGACAGCTAGAAATACAACTACAATTATTGAAATTGATGCCAATGACAATGTTAATTTTTTGTAACAAATTTGCAAATATTTTAAATAATAAATAAATTGTAACCTGAAGTACGTAAGTGACACAGTATTGTGAGAAATTTACATGTTTCAGTGCACATTTCATGGAATGTCCATTTTCTGTCTCTTTATTATCGCAGGAGGAACACAGATTGAAAGCCAAGAGGGCCAAAGAGGAACTTCAAGAGTATCTCCAACACCATCCCAAAATGACTTCTACCACCAGATACAGGTAAATATTGCGTACATGTTCATTTTTTTAATTTCCATTATTCCAACAAAATAAGTAAAATACATGGGATTGTATTGTACATAGTAAAAACAATGGAACTTAACAATATAATTGTAATTGGTCCACAGTGTACAACAGGTATATAAAACAGGTTGGTCATGGAGGGAACTGCTGAAAAGCTAGGCATGTATAATGCAGCCCCGTAACCTATAGTTGCTAAAATTGTGTATAATAAATAAGGGAACGTACAAATACATAAACCGGATAGAAATAAACATAAAAGGAGTGAAAGTGACAGAGAGAGAATGAAGACATGGAACGAGAGAGGGTAGGACTCTTACCTATAACATTCACAACAAAACACGGACCGACTGGAATACGGATGGCAGTACAAAATGAATGAAAATATAATAGAGTATACCATTGAGTGAAATAAATTAATGTTCATGGTAAGGTCAGGGCAACTACTCAAACTCCATTGTAATACAATTCAAACTAAGTTGGCCCTCTGTAGGGGCATGATGCACCATTCTGGAAGGCGTACTATAGATGAATAGAAATTAACAAAAGATGAGTGACATTGCTATTTGATCAAAAACCACTTGCTAGATGGTGTGTGTTTAATTTGTCAACAACGAGACTAAGAAAAGGTTTATGAGTATGAGTTCTCAAGTAAGTGCATGTTCGAAAATGTGCAAAATCTTACGTTTTTTCTCAAGATAAATCTTTGAAGAACAATTAATTGTATTCTATTATTCTATTTTTCATTAAAATTTGTCCTTTACAGAAGTATATATTGCTGTATGATTTTAATTTTAATGTTGAGTTTTATCTTGTGCATTTCAGCTTATTGAATTGCATTGAAAGTAATTTCCTACATGAATTTAGGCCTCATAATTCTTTAGTTCACCAATAACTTAACTTGCCACCACAGGAAGGCAGATGCCATGTTCGAGGAGGAGGAGATCTGGCGGGTGGTGCCAGACCGGGATCGGAAGGACCTCTACGACGACGTCGTCTTCTTCTTGAGCAAGAAAGAGAAGGAGGCGGCCAAGGTGTTGCGCAAGAGGAACATCGAGGCGATGAACAACATCCTGGATAGCATGCCGAACGTGACCTTCCGCACGACCTGGTCGGAGTGCCAACGGTATCTGGCTGAGAACCCCTCGTTTGCAGAGGATGACGAGCTTATGAGTGAGTAGCGGGAAAGAAACAGTTCCTTACTCAACAGAAAGAAAATTATCACATGGGATTTAGTGCAATTTGCCCCTATCGTCTTTTTGAAACCAATGTAGCTTACTTGATGATTGGTTGTAATGTGTGATATCGCTAATCATGGTTGACTTGGAACTTGGAACTGTAGACAATTTCAATCTATTATCTGTACCTGCCATTTGCTGAGCTAATGAGTTAGTAAAAGGGAATTGAACTGAATTTAATTTGATTGAAGTGAAGTGAAGTGAACTTAGCTACCGGTAAGTTTACTTAACTCGACTCCAGTTGATTCAAATTGAAACAAATTGAGAACTGATATGAAATTAATTGAATTGAAATTAATTGAATTACATTGAACTAAACATAACTGAGTCGAGTTGACTTGACTCTAATGGAACTGTGTCAAATTAAATCAAGTTGAGAACTGAAATGAATTAAATTGAATTAGATTGAAATATGAGGTTTACTTGAAGGACAAGTCAATGGCTCTTTTTATGCCTCCGCCACCGAAGGTGGTGCCGGAGGCATCATGTTTTCGGGTTGTCCGTCCGTACGTCCGTCCGTCCGTACGTCCGTCCGTCCGTACGTCCGTCCGTCCGTCCGTCCGTCCGTCCGTCCGTCCGTACGTCCGTCCCGTTTGACCGTTATCACAATATCTCAAGAACCATTTAAGATTTAAACTTAAGACTCGGGAATAGTATTTATCACCATAGGAAGACGATCTGATTAGATTTTGGAGTACGTAGGTCAAAGGTCACAGGTCACAGAGGTCAACTTATGAAATTCCTTGTATTGAGTTTGTTAGCGCGATATCTCAAGAACCATTTGAGATTTAAACTTCAAACTTAAGGATAGTATGTATCACCATAGGAAGACGATCTGATTAGATTTTGGAGCACGTATGTCAAAGGTCAAGGGTCACAGAGGTCAACTTATGAAATTCCATACATTGAGATTGTTATCATGATATCTCAAGAACCACTGGAGATTTAAACTTCAAACTTAGTGATAGTGTGTATCACTATAGGAAAACAATCTGATTAGATTTTGGAGCACGTATGTCAAAGGTCAAGGGTCACAGAGGTCAACTTATGAAATTCCATACATTGAGATTGTTATCATGATATCTCAAGAACCACTGGAGATTTAAACTTCAAACTTAGTGATAGTGTGTATCACTATAGGAAAACAATCTGATTAGATTTTGGAGCACGTAGGTCAAAGGTCAAGGGTCACAGAGGTCAACTTATGAAATTCCATACATTGAGATTGTTATCATGATATCTCAAGAACCATTTGAGATTTAAACTTCAAACTTAAGGATAGTATGTATCACCATAGGAAGACGATCTGATTAGATTTTGGAGCACGTAGGTCAAAGGTCAAGGGTCACAGAGGTCAACTTATGAAATTCCATACATTGAGATTGTTATCATAATATCTCAAGAACCACTGGAGATTTAAACTTCAAACTTAAGGATAGTATATATATCACCATAGGAAAACGATCAGATTAGATTTTGGAGTACATGTATGTCAAAGGTCATAGAGGTCAACTTGAAAATTTCAGACTACATGTATAGGACTTGTCATGATATGTCAAGAACCACTTGAAATATGTTCCGTTACTTAACCCGTACTTAACTGGGCTATTTTGAGCACCTCCCTGACTGGGGGGGGGGGGGGGGGGGAGGGGCCGATTGCCTCGAAATTTGGCACGCGTCTTGAGAAATTGCGCAAAGCAAGAGACCTCACTATTATTTAAATTGCTCTATGGCGGAGGCATCATTTTCGACTGCGCGCAGTCAAAATTCCATCTAGTTTTTTATGCCTCCGCCACCGAAGGTGGTGCCGGAGGCATCATGTTTTCGGGTTGTCCGTCCGTACGTCCGTCCGTCCGTCCGTACGTCCGTCCGTCCGTCCGTCCGTACGTCCGTCCCGTTTGACCGTTATCACAATATCTCAAGAACCATTTAAGATTTAAACTTAAGACTCGGGAATAGTATTTATCACCATAGGAAGACGATCTGATTAGATTTTGGAGTACGTAGGTCAAAGGTCACAGGTCACAGAGGTCAACTTATGAAATTCCTTGTATTGAGTTTGTTAGCGCGATATCTCAAGAACCATTTGAGATTTAAACTTCAAACTTAAGGATAGTATGTATCACCATAGGAAGACGATCTGATTAGATTTTGGAGCACGTATGTCAAAGGTCAAGGGTCACAGAGGTCAACTTATGAAATTCCATACATTGAGATTGTTATCATGATATCTCAAGAACCACTGGGGATTTAAACTTCAAACTTAGTGATAGTGTGTATCACTATAGGAAAACAATCTGATTAGATTTTGGAGCACGTATGTCAAAGGTCAAGGGTCACAGAGGTCAACTTATGAAATTCCATACATTGAGATTGTTATCATGATATCTCAAGAACCACTGGAGATTTAAACTTCAAACTTAGTGATAGTGTGTATCACTATAGGAAAACAATCTGATTAGATTTTGGAGCACGTAGGTCAAAGGTCAAGGGTCACAGAGGTCAACTTATGAAATTCCATACATTGAGATTGTTATCATGATATCTCAAGAACCACTGGAGATGTAAAAACTTCAAACTTAATGATAGTGTGTATCACCATAGGAAGACAATCTGATTAGATTTTGGAGCACGTAGGTCAAAGGTCAAAGGCCACAGCGCACATTATGAATGCAAAAACAGCTTGTGATCGCGTTATCTCAAGAACCGATTGATGGATTCATGCCAAAATTAGGTCGTGTTTGTTTTTTGCAGAGCCAATGAACTGAGTAGATTCTTGGTTCATAAGGTCAAAGGTCAAAGGTCATGGGCCCATTATGTATGCAAAAATAGCTTGTGAACGCATTCTCATTAGAACTGACAGATGGATTACTATTTAACTCAGAACATCTTGCAGAGCCAATGAACTGAGTAGATTTTATGGTCATGAGGTCAAAGATCAAAGGGTCATATATGTATATGAGAAATTGCTTGTAATCACAATATTCTGAGAACCTGTCAATGGATTACCATTGAACGTGAATTCAATTTTTTTTTTCTGTTTTGGTTTTTAAAATTGCTCTATAACGGAGGCATCATTTTCGACTGCGCGCAGTCGAATTCCATCTAGTTTGTTGATTATATAATGCTTATAACCATGCTAGAATATGGATCAGACCAAATGTAAATAAAATTAATATTATGTTATACATGTAAAGATAATTTTGGTGCCTTTTTGAGATACGAAGGATGATGAAAATGGTACAGGCATTTGATACAGTTCTATTTTGTTATCTGTAGGTATGGACAAGGAGGATGCTTTGATCTGCTTTGAGGAGCACATCCGTCAGATGGAGAAGGAGGAGGAAGACGAGCTGGAGAGGGCTAAGATGCTCAAGAAGAGGCACTTCAGGAAGTGCAGAGAAGCATTTCTGGTGAGACCATTAACCTTCAAACCGAATCTACTACATACAGTCAAACCTGCTTTAGTGACCACCTGTCTACAAAAACCACATTTTCTGTTTCTCTTGAAAATGGTTTCTCAATGAAACATGTACTAAAGGAACCTGTCTACAAAGACCACTTTTTGTGTTTCCTTTGGGCGGTCTGTATAGACAGGTTTGACTGTATACAATTACTATTTGAAATACAAAATGAATACTGTATATATGACAGAAGTATAATGAAGTATGAGAAATATTTAGTCTGTTTCGACATTATTACTTTTTTTTCTATAGAGGCATATTACGGTATCCAGCAATTTTTATCTCTTTGAAACATTTTGCTGATTTGTTTTTGTTTAAAGGAAAAATAGAAACGAACACATGATGTGAGGTTTTATTTACAACATTATCAATGATTCAACAAATTTGAAGAGGGTATGAAAGACTAGCTGCACGCAGCAAAAGGTTCTACGCATGCTCACTGATCTGTGTGTTATATGAGCAGATGGCAGACGAGTGCAGTTGATAGGGAAACTGCCTTGGATAAGTGAATGAGCCTTTAGAATTCATTCAATCAATCAAATCAATAATGATTTTATTAAAAACCAAGGCCTCACAGCCGAAATGCTGAATTGTGCATGTTTACGTATACATGAGCTCCATTACATAAAATCATAGCTGACCATTTTCATTATTTCTTGTAAACATATACAGGTACTGCTTGACGAGTAACACGAGAGAGGACATCTTTATTCCAGGGGGGTGTTTCACAAAGATCCTAAGTCAAACTTAACTCTTAGTTGGACTTAAAAATTATGGAGAGCCATTTGTAGCCTCAATATAAAATATATTCAAAAGCGAAAATTCAAGTATTTTAGACTTTTTATATATATTCCACATCAAGAACAAGGAATCTCCTTGATAATAGGAAATATGAATAATTTGAATCAACATTTAATGCCTTATAAAATAACTTTTACCAAATATTTTCATAGATGCTAACGGCTTTCCATAATTGTTAAGTCCAACTTAGAGATAAGTTCAACTTGGGATCTTTGTGAATAATAATAATAGTTCAGTTCTTGTATAGCGCATGATACGTTATGGAATAACATCTCTACAGCAGTATTGACCCTCACTTCAAGAACTCTAATTCTAATCATTATTTCTTTAAATTATAATTTTGTGTAAACTTACAGGTGCTGCTCGATGAGTTGCACGACAGAGGGCAGCTCCATTCCATGTCTATATGGATGGATCTTTGCCTTATAATCAGTGCCAACCCTCCCAGCAACCTTTGTAGTTTGCTTTAAATGCTAGTCATTGTCTTCTTTTTTTAAAGTTATTATTTCTTGTATTAACGTATATAGGTACTGCTCGATGAGTTGCACGACAGAGGGCAGCTCCATTCCATGTCTCTCTGGATGGACCTGTACCCTATCGTCAGTGCCGACCCTCGCTTCAACGGCATGCTGGGTAAACCAGGGTCAACGCCCCTTGACCTCTTCAAGTTCTACGTGGATGACCTCAAGGCCAGGTTCCATGACGAGAAGAAAATTGTCAAGGACATTCTCAAGGTGAGGGATTTATAAAGGGATCGTTTAACAACGTTAAATCTGTGATACACGGCCCTACGTCTTGTCAGTGTCTGTGATATGGTAAAATATTGAAGCCCTAAAAAAATTGCGCTTCAAAATGATCAAGAAGTGCCTCAAAAATTTTTAAATCTTTGAGTGACCGGTTTTACCATACTCGTTTTCCCCAATAGACTGTAGTGTTATGAAAATCGTTAAGCAAACGGTTTTCAAAGTTTGTAATTCCAATCATGAATATCTTGATAATCAGACAGGCGGTCTGCTTGTAAAAGTCATGGGGTTCCTGACTGACCTAAAGGTTTATAATTATCATTGCAGCATGAGCTAAATCCAGAATTTTGTTTCAGAATCTGAGACAAAGTTACCGGATCCCTTTAAGTTTCAGTTGTCATGACTAATTCCCTATTATGATTTTCTAGTTGCATGGGAAAATTATGTCAAAGGTAACAATTGGATTAAAAATTTGTGGTCCTTTATATGTGATTACGATATTTAATTGCTTGGGAACTACACATATTATATTTGATGGAAGTATTTCAAATGTCCTTTGTATTGTAAAATTGTGATCCTTCGATTATGGTTGTATTGAACCTTCAATGTAATATTAATTTTACTTTTTTCTACGGTACAAATAGTTGAAAATAACTGTTTTGATTGGTGGGTATATACAGTCAAACCTGCTTTAGTGACCACCTGTCTATAAAGACCACTTTTCTTGTCTCCATTGGGTGGTCTTTATAGACAGGTATCACTGTATTCATACTAGACAAAATATAAATGTGTTCTCTTGTGCTCTATATAATTATGACATTTGACATTCTTGAAATTATTTCATCTTTGATTGCAGGATAAAAGCTTGACGGTGGAGCTGATTACAACCTTTGATGATTTTGCCAGTGCCATCAGTCTTGACAAGAGGGCTTCCACCTTAGATGCAGGCAATATCAAGATGGCTTTTAATAGTGTAAGTTATTATTATTATTACTAAGTATTTGTCGTCACCTGTGCCTTGGAGACAAAAAAGCAAACTGATACACTGTGACCCTCGGGTCTCTCCTCCCGGTATAACTGATTGGGGGTGTGCAGGTGGACCACTACACCGAGTTTCCCCCTACTCTTATACGAATAGTGCAGTGGGTTCTTAACGTGCAAAGGTTCTGGCAAGATTGCCAGCTATCCTTGAAATCAGGGGAAAACCAGGATAATGAGTTCCCTTTTTTTCCAGTCAGGGGATTTGAAGAAGAAAAAATCAGCCTAATCGGGTAAAGATGAGGAATGTTTACCTCCAAAAGAAAGTTTTATCTCAATAAAAGTGCTGGATGATTGGCTGTGGTTCCTTTTTATTGTTTAAAATACCTTCTTGAATGATTCTGGTAAAATCAGTGAATTGTGTTTTCTCATGCAGTAATGGGATCCCTCTCAGGGATATACATTGGATTGTATTCACAGTTTTGTTTGGCTCCTCTTAAAGTCAGATTACTCTGCATTTCTATGTGAAAATCACACCCTCTGTTGATTCTCTCCACGACTTCAAATTCGTCAGTTCGGTGGTTTGTGAAAGGTCTAATATTATACCACCTTATTTTGTCAAAAGATCTGCTGGCAGAAGGGTAGTTTCTCCAAGCAAATTCTCCTAAAAACATATTTAACGCATGATCATTATCTCCGTCATAATCATCATCAACATCATCATATTTATCATCATCATCATCATCATCATAATCATCATCGTCACCATCATCATCATCATCATTGTGGTCATCATCATTGTCATCATCACCATTATCATCACAATTATTGTTTTCTCCTTTATCATCATCATCATCATCATCATCATAATCATCATCATCATCATCATCAGCATAATCATTATCATCATCATCATCATCATCATCATCATCATCATCATCATCATCATCATCATCATTATCATTGTCATCATCATCATCATCATAATTGTCACCAGCATCATCATCTTGAACATCATCATCAGCATCATCATCTTGATCATCATCATCATCCTAATCATCATCCACACTAATTGAATTGTTATTATTCTTATCTCTTTCAGTTGATAGAGAAAGCAGAAGCGAGAGAGAAGGAGAGACAGAAAGAAGAAGCCAGGAAACAGAGGAGAAAAGAGAGTGCCTTCAAGACCATGCTCAAGCAATCTGCCCCACCCCTAGATGTCAATTCAAACTGGGATGACGTAAGTTCTTATCATTATCATATTTTCTCTTTGAAGGAGACGTAATGGCTCAGTGGTAGAGCATTGGTCTCGTAACCGGGAGGTCCCGGGTTCAAAACCAAGTCGATGCGTTTGTGCCCTTTGGTTAGGCATTAGTCCTCATTACCAAGTCCCTCGGAGAGGACTCAACATTACAACTAATAGTATATTACTATTACTTTATATTACAGATAGATTGAAAGCATAGTAAAATATAATTAATGGCAGCAAGATTGGAGATACAACAGACTTTTACAATTCATTTTAAAATGTTTTTTGTTTGTGACAGGGCCCAGAAAAGTTACACCCTGCCATTTGCTTAGGTGAACAAATTATATGACTTCTTTTTTTTGGCAGCATTTCCTGCTCAAATCATAGAGTTAAAGGACCACGTATATTAATTGTTGGTATTTGATTTTTCAGGTCAGAGATCGCTTTGTCAACGACCATGCATTTGATGGCATCACGGTTGAATCAGAAAGGATCCGTCTCTTCAAAGAATTTATTACATCTCTAGAGGTAAGCATTGTATGATTGTATGAGAAAATCTGTTGAGTTTTTTTTTAAAGCTTTTATTGCACTTTACAAAAGATGACTTGAAACTAGCTAAATCTGTTTTATTTTAGTTCATACAAAGAGTGAGTTTTTAGAAAGAGTTTTTTTTTTTTTTTTTTTTCCTCCTTATTTTTCTATTAATACAAGTAGACAATGTACATGAAAGGTATTATTTGACCTCTCAAAAATTCATGTTTGAAATCAGTCTAAGAGCAAGATTACATGGAAAGCAACAGAAACATAGTGTGTCCTTGTAATCCTTTTATTTTAGCAGTTTCTTTGAATAATATCCATTCTATTGTCGAAAATTATGTTTTCCACACTAAATTTTTCTTTGAATTGTCAAAACTGCTTTTTTCAAACATTTTAATCCAAAGTGATAAAAGGTTCCTCTACATTCATGACCTTATCGATATATTAATTATTTTATTAACAAATAATTATAAAATCTTTGTCTCCTTCAGGTTGCCTGTGCCCATCATCATGGGAAATCAACATCTCGCAAACATTCCAAGAAGTCAAAGAAGCACCGCAGCAGACGATCTCCATCACGCTCTAAATCGGTGAGTCTTAAATTCAGATTGAGAGAAGAGTTTTCAAAAGTGTGTAAGGTCCAATGGTGCAAAAGTGTTAACTGTAATGTTTATGAGTGAGACATAAAACTGTTTTAGGATGCATTAGATGTACATTACCTGTTCATTCAGTAAAGGTGGATTTGGGTTTGAAGAAATGTGTAGCAAATGGCCAAATATTGAAGGTATTGTGATTTTGAAAATAATTGCTTAGCTTCTCGCTTTGTTATGGATTATGTGCATGAAAGTGTATCACATTGTAGGTCGATAGTAATAGAAAGGTCTTTACTTCAAACTTGTTGCCTATTTTATTGCTTTGTCTCGCACGTTTATCAAACTGTCTGATGAGTGTATTAGCTAAATATCTGCATAAAGTTTGTAATCCTGAGGTAATTTGATTTATCATAAAAAAGGTACTATTTCTTCTACATTAACTGTGATTTTAAATCTGTTTTTCCTTTTGTTTTTCTCGTCAGTCGGATTCCGTTGATGATGAACAGGAAGAGAGGGAGAGAGAGCGAGAGCGGGAAAAGGAGCGTGAGAGAGAGAAGGAAAGGGAGAGGGAGAGAGAGAGGGAGAGAGAACGCGAGAGAGAACGTGAGAGAGATAGAGAGAGGGAAAGAGATAGGGAGAGAGAAAGAGACAGAGACAGTCACAAGCGCTCCAAGAAGAAGAAGCGTTCAAAGACACCTTCGGAGTCATCAGGCCATGAATCAGGTAAGACGATTCATTTTCTTTTTAATCAAAGATACTTTATAATTCAAGTGAACGAGAGCATGTTAACAAGTTCGTGAGAACAATGATACTTTGAGTATTTGAAGAAAATTGCAAGGTGTCAAATCTATTGTATGTGATTAAATTTTGATTTTATACACATTTTCCAAACAGTCCTGCCTGGGTTATCAGTTTAGTTTTTGACAGGGTATGACTTACAGCCTTTTCACACATGGGTAAAATTCATCGTATCTAGAGCTGATTAGTTTAAAGCTGTTTAAACAAACAGCTTTAAAGAAAATTTTCCCTTTGTGAACGTCGTTTATACGATGTTCAGACAGATACGAAGTCGGGATTCATATGCTGGTCAAAGCAGGCTGCAGTAACGAAGGCTGTATCTAGTGAGCAAGACAATTTGTGTGTGAACGGATATACGTCCTTAACTAGAACGGGCAGTGAGTCACTGCTTGTAAATGCGTAATGGCCCTACCTACTGAGTGTTTAAAGAGCAGTGAATCTCGAACGACCGCACCAAAATCATCTGTGTGTGAATGATGTATCTAAAGCTGATTAGTTTAAAGCTCTTTAAAGCTAATTAGCTTTGAAGAATTTTACCCCTGTGTGAAAAGGGGTTTAGTAAATCAGGGATACATTTTGAGAGTAGGAAATATTTTAGCACCTTCCGAGCCACCAGATTTATGAACAATTATAGATCGATTTTCAACATACTTTTAACTTTTAATTCATTGAAATTTTAGTAGAATAAAGGTTTGAACCTTTGAACCTTGAGAAGGTCATGTGAAGTTTACCATATTAAAATACACAACTCCCGATGTAATGTACTAGCAAGGAATCTAAGTTTATGAAATTAACAAGAAATCAACTCTCGAGTCATCTCTTAAAATTACAACCTGTCAATCAAGTGTTGAAATTCACTCTCAAGCAGGATGAAATTGACAAGCAAGTTATTTATGAGTGCAGTGTGAAATGTACACTTGAGTTGTAAACAGGCAGGAATCTGGGTCACAGTTTAACCCACAGTGCAGGTGTAGTAGTAGTAGTAGTTGGACCAAATTATTAGTACAAAATCAAAGCAAGCTTAAGCTGCATTTACACTCCAACCAAAAAAACAAAAGTCAGTTTTTCTCGCATTCCCACATTTCGCCGGTAGTTTCATTGCACAACGCTTTTATTTGAGACAATATTAATCGATTGTGTGTACTAAATGAATTGTGTGTACCAATTTCACAGGATATTTTTTATTTTGATATATGATGTAGATTAAATTAAACAAGTAAAATGTATTCATTTATTTGTTTTTACATCTCACAGATCACAGTAAGAATAAATCGTCAAAGAGACACAAGAAGAAGACAAAGAAGAAGCGCAGGAGAACGGTAAGCAACCAGTCTCTAAAAGTGTTACAGAAAGCTTGTTCTAATGATTATGATGATGAATATCAAGTTCTTTATGCTGACATTCAAGGAGAAGTCCACCCTGATATTACATTGGTCTTAATTAGAAGCACAAAATGAGAGAAATTGGTTAGTAAAAGTTAGAGCAAAAACCGATTAAAAAAAGAAAGGGTTATGAAAACTTGAAGGTGCCCCGTTCAAAAACACTTCAAAAATCTATATTTTCAATTATGAATATTGTCAATCATACATTCACCCTAGATATAATTAATTCAATTTGGATGCATCTAGAAGTTTATCATAGTTTGATGACCTTACACTCATACCAGATGTTCATTGGAACAGTCAATATTTCATATCATCTCTTTAGAACCAGAAGGGCGCTAACTCATATACTCAAGACAGAGTTATCACCCCTCTGGCTCTGAGCAGATAATGTATTCAATATTTGAGTTTGCATGTTGATGAAGTAAGCCAGTTTAAACCAGTTTAAACCAGTCACATTTACACTCAAAGATCAGGTAATGGAGCTCCCAATAGTTCCCTTTGATAATAATAATAGTAAATCTGGATTTATATAGCACTTTACAGATTTTATGTTTACACCGAACCTTGGATTAATTCCTGCACACATTGTGCACAATTTCCACTCTAAGAGGATTTTCCCTACCATATGGAAATTTGTATCACAAAACGGCTTTTGTCATCCTACCAGGTCCCCATTTCTCTCCTGGGTATTGAGTGGCAAATGTAGATTAATGCCTTGCCAAAGGACATTAGGGCGGTGTCCAGGATTGAACCCTGACCCTTTCATTTCCAGTCAAGTGCTTAAACCACTCGACTACGACACCTCTCTTTCAGTCTCTATGGGAGGGAACTAATTCGGCACTTCTTGAAATTGACCTATGAACGAATGCAAAGTCTGCCCTGGCATGGCTTAAGATTTGTAGAATGAAGCAAAATGTAGAGGTTAATTCTGGCAAGTAAATAACATTATATGAATCTATTCCTTGTAATCTATTATTTGGGAGTAATTTTGATTTTATGTACTTGTGAAAGAATTCAACTTGAGTTCAATAGATAGAATTACTTTTATTTTGTTGTTTCTTTTAATAGCCTGTATCCGATTCTGGCTCTGATGAAAAGGAGAGTGGTGAGATATCAGTTCCCCACAAGCCAAGCAAGTCCGGTACTCCATCCATGTCTGCAGGAACACCCAAGAAAGAAAAGGTAACCAGTCTCTGCTGTGATGAGAACAGTAGAAACACAAAGGCCTGAATTCACAAAGGAGGTTTAAATTTAACCCATGGTTTAAATCTTCATTTACATAACCCATGGTCTAAAATTAGCGCAAAATAAGTGTGACATAGTCAGAGGTCCAATATTAGACGCGCGCGAGGCAAGGTACACTTATTTTGTGCTAATTTTAAACAATGGGTTATGTAAACTAGGGTTTGTGAAATTTAAACCTCCTTTGTGAATTCGGGCCAAAGGATATGGATGTGTGCATGATTTTGAATTGTGGGGCTGCAGGTTATTTTGGCAAGGTGTATTTTGAAAATTAAAATCAATTTCCTATTTCTATTTGTGATGAGGTATTCTACACTGCACACATAAATATTGTCTATGGAGACATTACATTTTATTAGAACAATTTAGCCATAAAAGAAAAAAAACATTTTGTTGCCAATTTGAAGAACAACAGGTGATCAATTAAACCCAAAAGAAATCTTGTCCTGAAAGAGTTAATCTAATAAGAAGACGCGATTGGTCAGTGGTAGAGCAGTGGTCTCGTAACCTGGAAGTCCCAGTTCAAAACCAAGCCGATGCGCTAGTGCCCTTTTTGGTAAGGCATTAATCCTCATTACCAAGTCCTTTAAAGGACTTAAAGCCATAGGTCCCAAGGTTGCTTACTTACTAGCATACAAATGCTTTGTTAGCAGTCAAGTAAAACAAACCCAACCAAACAATACCATAATCTGACATGTAATTCTTCATAATTTTCTGTTTTCTTTCTTCTATTACACAGACTGGCTGGGACACTTCCGATAGTGATCTAAGCGATGGAGAGTTGGAAAGACGGAGAAGGGCACTACTAGAGCAGCTGGCTGAAAATCATTGATGATGCAAGCTCCATGGAATCCTAAATTTATTTCTGTCAATGTTTTTATGATTGTAGGGAGGGGTTAAGTACTCCTGCTCAAGTCCCTTTCAGTTTCGAACAAGGTCTGAATCATGCTAATACAGTCCAATCTGCTTTAGCGACCACCTGTATAGAAAGACCACCTGTCTAGAAAGACTACATTTTTTTTCTTCCCTTGAATAGGCTTTCTCATTGAAACCTGTACTAAAGGAACCAGTACTTAAAGACCACCTGCCTATAAAGATGACTTTTCATGTTTCCCTTGAGCGGTCTTTATATAAAGGTTGCACTGTAATACAAAAATTGTTTACCAAGGATAGCCTCATTAGCATTAGTACTGTTCTTCCTGATGGCCCCTGCAGAAAGTTTCATTATTTGCCTTATATTCAACACGTTTCTCTGATTTTTCTGTTTCCTCCCAGTTCCACTGGTAAAAAAAGTGGAAATTTCCCTCTACCGTAAGTATATGAAATTAATTTTGTGTCTATTTTGGTGGGGAAAAGGGACAAAAAAGACGCAGTATGATCTTTTCTTGATAATGCTTCGATCCGAGGTGAAATTTCAGAATAAAAAGTTTCCAACACTGTCAATGAACTTTAGGATTGTTTGCTTTCCTTCACCGAGCCGATGCCAATTGGCAACGTTCCGTTTGTTTACAATAGATGGGCAGTTATCATCACCGTCGTACGTCCATGCATAGATAAGCCCTTATTGTCATCAATCACTCCGTTGTTATCTGACACATGAATTGATTAGAAGATTTCCAGTGCGTTCCATTTGCCAAAGTTTATGTCCACAAAAAGTCATTTGAAATTTGAAGGGTTATCTTTCTTTTATTTCATCCCATGCTAAATTTTGAGCAGAATTTCCCTTTATCAGCCCCATTTACCAATGAAATTAATTCATGTATTTTGCTCCCCAGACCCTTGCCCACAATTTCTATGTAAGTCATCTGTTATGTTAGTCCAGAATCTGACTGATTCTTATATTTTATCTCTATAATATTTTCAACACTTGCTTCAAGCCGCCAAAGATGGCGTTATCAGCGAACTTTTCGCCGGGCGTAGAAATACGGGGATCTCGTCGTCTTGGGCTTACGGCAAGTAAGGGGAGATGGCGGTGATGGAGATTATTAAAAATCAAATCGGCCAGATTCTGGACAACTGTTATGTATGATATGTGTATGGATGTAATCCCTATCTCATAAAATAGTTATTGCTATGTCGGGCAAGCAATATGAAACTTCTTGGGTCATTATTACAGGATGCTGTTAAGTACTGGTCATGTGACTGAACTGTGGAAGAAACTCTTTACAATTTTGAATTATTGGTATATTAAATAGGAATAAATATGTATTGAAAAAAATTGAAATTTTTTGAAAGCACTGAAATGATAAAAAAATAACGAACTCTATCTGATTAAAAACCCTCTCAAATAATGAAAGGATCATGACAAAAGTATATCCTCATGGGACTATACACATACAGGTGACAGGAAATTTGGTTCAAAGTTCTGAACTATTTCTAGTCATATAAATATTCATATAGTTTGAATACATTTATGCACTGGTCTTTTAGCCTAACTTAAAATGGTATAGGAATTGTAACATAAAACATGATTCATTCATTCAACAATTATTTTCTTTCAACCACAAATGTAATTTCTCCGATCTGTTTTAGATTGGAAGGTTGATGGACGTTCCCCTCCCCCCCCCCCCCCCTTCCTTTGCACATTGATTTATCATTAGACAGATGTCAACATAATTTGCTTGGGTAGTTTACACCTTTTGTAAGCCTTATGCCAAACCTATTCCAATCAAATTTAAATTAAAGACCGTCAATACTACTGGGCCAGAAGGGATTAGACCACACAGCGAGGTCACTGGCAGGTGGCTATCTCATTAACTCAGCTCTCAACTAACATAAGAAAAAGAGGATCATGGGGGACCAACAGGCACCGATTGGGGAAGTTTTTCTATACAGAGGGAGCAAGTAGCTACAAGTAGGACAGTGGGGCTGATATGAACATGATCGCAACTAATTAGAAAAAAAGTCAACCTTAGGCAATGTCAATAGCCTTGTGCATCATTACCTATTGAAATGTGTGAAGGTGACAATGACGTATTGCTAAATACGAACATGACTTCTACGGGATGTACAATGGGGTATTGAAATTCCCCTCGACTTGATTTTTCCAAAATGGTTGCAATCGTGATTATGATAGGGAAGGATAAATAATTAATCATGTTTTTTTACAGACCCCTGTGTTGTTACAATACAAGCAAGACAAATTGTGCATGTCTCGTGTGATTTTGGGAAAAGTTCTATTTCTTTACTGTATATTCGGAGCAGAGGAGAAATGAAAGAATGAATCTGGATTTCTTGTAAATATATGTGTATTATAGCCAAACCTGTATATCTTGTATATTGTTTGTTCTTGGGTATTATTCTTTACCCTCATCATTGATTGGGGATGTCACATGATTTTTCTGTTTGGTACTAGAAGGGTGTTAACTCATATACTACAACACACAGCTAGTGCCTTTCTGGTTTGAACAGAAGATATGCTATTCATATCCGCCTGTGAAGAGGAGGAGGCAAAATTTTTGGTTAGGTGATGTTGAAGATGGCAAATTAAGTTATGCAAGAATATGTAGAGCATGTAGTCATGGATGTAATGTGTGCGTGTGTGTGTGTGTATGTGTGTGTTAGATAGAGAGCGAGAAAGAAAGGGAGAGAGGGTAAAAAGAGAAAACATGAATATAATGAGAGAGAGAGAGAGAGAAATGGCCGAGGGTAAAGAGCAGAAAAGGGAAAGGGAGGGAGAGAGAGGGGAGAAAGAGAAGAAGGGAGGTTAGAGAAAGAAGGAAAAAAGAAGCGAGAAATGGGGGGAGGGAGGTACTGTATATGAAAGATGTGCAGATTTGTGAGTTTGGACAGTGAGGGGGCACACGAAATGGTAAACATAGGGGAAATTACGTCGTTTGAAATTTAAAAATGCAAAAATGACCACAATAGCAGGCAATGATGTGGAGAGATGCATAGAAATATCAACAGAAGATGAAAAGATTTTTTTTTTTCTACAAAAGGAAGTACAATTAAAAATCGTTGTTAGGCGAAAAAGAAATAAGATTTTATCAGATATTAAAAATGTAGAATTCTGAGGTAACTACATATTACTTACGTATCGTTCCTAGGTCAATTTTTTTTTTACCCTTCTTGGTACAAACTATCTCCATCCAAAAATGGATTCTGGTGTTTACAAGTTATGCTGTTCTCCCATGGACTATGCCAAGAAAACAAAAGATACGGAGATATGATTCAAAGTGCCCTTCAGAAAAACACGTATGACAAGAAATCTTCTTAGCTGTGTTGGTATTATCTGACAGAAAGCTCTTCAAACAACTTTGTTATTTTGAGATTGCTGGTTTGGATTCTCAAGAAAGATTTTGTTTTAAGCGAGAGGAAGGAAAGAAGATGATATTGAGTAAATAACTGGTAAAGAAGTCGTTTAGAGATCAGGGCTCTATATTACAAAGAGTTGATATTGATCGCAACTATGTACATAAGAGATAGGAGACTGCAAACTTGCGATTGATTAGAGGACTTGCGATTAATTTGGATCAATCGCAATTCTTTGTAAGACAGGGCCTAGAGCAATAAAGACGAAAATAAAGGCCACAAGATGTATTGATTTATACTCTAATTTTTTTCATGGCTTAATTTGTGAATGGCAAGCGGTGGTTGAATTGCTCACCACTTCTAAAATATGCATTTTAAAACATAATGAGGGTATATATATCTACATGTGCAATAATAAAGGTATATGGTAATATGAAGGAGAAAAAAAGACAATCTAATAGATATTGAACATGTAAACAGAAAGTTCACAAATCCATGGAGAGAAACGTGATTGTGTGAACATCAGCGTGCCAAGGGGGCATAGAGAGTGGCAATGGAAAAAAGGGGGAGACTGAGAGAGGGAGAGAAAGAGATGGAGAAGAGGGGAAGGGAGGGAGAGAAAAAAGGTAGGGGAGAGAGGGGAAGAAAGATGAAGTGATATAGAGAGATAGAGGGAGAGGAGGGGAGAGAGAGAGAGAAGAGAGAGAGAGAGACTTTACCACCACCACCACCACCAACACCACCACCTCCACTTTACTACTACTACTACTACTACTACCACCACCACCACCAGGGGCGGTCGAGCGACTTCCAAAGTGGGGGGCACCAACAAAAAAAGGGCACTTTCTGAAGAAAAAAGGGCACCTACAGTGGGAAATCTCAAAGCGAAAATATACAATTTTTTAGACATTGGTACATACCCCTGCATTGTGATTACATTATCAGGGATGATTTCAATATTTGTTTCTCTTCATACATCATACAAGATATCGCTTAAGCATCATACTTTACAGTTGGGTGGGATGTCTGAATATGCATTTACGAGCGAGCGAAGCGAGCGAGAAAAATTTTAAAGATCTGCGAGGTCGCAGTGCGAAAAATTACATCTTATAAAGAGGAAAAAAGCCAATCGTGATGGGGTTATAAGCACATTCTCTTAACGGAAGACTGAAAAGACCTTTGATAACTAACATAATTATATCATCTTTAAATGCGAGCGAGCGCAGCGAGCGAACTTTGGGGGAAATTGCTCTTAGTCGCTTTAAATAAGGGGCATGTTTAATGATTTCATGAAAAGGGGACAATTATCGAAAGGGATAAGACACTTATTAGAAAAGAAAAGGAGCACGTGTCAAAGTACAAAGGATAATTATAAGAGGTGAACATGAGGCATTTTTTTCACCTGAAAAGAGGCACTCACCTGATGAAAAAGAGGCGTTTACGAAAATGGGAAATAGGCATTTGTTGACGGAAAAAGGGCACCCATCAGATTTTGATAGGGGCATTTATAAGAGGTGAAAAGGGGACAGGTCCCTTATTAGAAAGGAAAAGGGGCACGTATCATTATTAAAAAGGGAATTATCAGAGGTGAAAAGAGGCACTGACCAGATATGAAAAGGGGCACTTATGAAAATGTAAAAGGGGCACTTATAATAAAGGAAAATGTGCATTTGTTGAATGAAAAGGGGGCACCGTTCAAATTTAAAAAAAGGGCCGTTATGAGAAGGGGAGGGAGCTTTTTCTTTTTAATGGGGGCACTTATCATAAGGAAAAGGGGCACTTATTAGAAAGGGAAAGCGGTAGTTATGAGAAGGGGAAGGAGCTCTCTCTTTTTAATGGGGGCACTTATCATAAGGAAAAGGGGCACTTATTAGAAGAAAAAAAGGGGCACATGTTAAAATTAAAGGTGTGCTCATCCGAGTTTAAAAAAGGGGTAGTTATTAAAAGGAGAAGGGGCACTTCTTACAAAGGAAAAAAGGGGCAGTTGTCAAAGTAAAAGGAGCACCTCTCAGTTTTGAATAGGGCAATTATCAGAGGTGAAGGGGGCACTTATCAAAAGTGAAAAGGGGCACTTCTCGTACCTGAAAAGAGGCACTTACTAGAGATTAAAAAGGGCACTTATTAAAGATAATTTCAAGATTTATGAGAATGGAAAATGGACACTTATTGCAAAGGAAAATGGGAACATGTCGAAGGAAAAGGGGCACGTGTCAAAAATAAAAAGGGCACTCGTCAGAGGTGAAAAGGGGGAAGGGGCACTTTTATTTAGTAATAGGGGCACTTGTCAAAGTAAAAGGGGCACTTTTCCTATGTAAAAGGGGCACTTCTTACAAAATAAAAGGGGCACTTTTCCTATGTAAAAAGGGGCACTTTTGGGGTATCTGAAAAAGTGGGGGGCACTGTGCCCCCCTGCCCCCCCCCCCCCGGGAGAACCGCCTCTGACCACCACCACCACCGGTATACGGGGACGATGTCTACCAGAAAATAAACATAACACAAATTATTATCCACCTTAATTTTGAATCGAGTAGCTTTGGTGAATTGGTCTCGTTGACCCACTGGCCACTCATACCCCCCCCCCCCCCAACCCCCTTAAAAAAGGTTTCTGAATGTTATACTTTAATTGGAACTGCAGGTAACGTACATGGAATGCTTCAGTACAAGTGAAAAAGGACATTCTAGGGAGATAAAAGTTTCGGGATGGCATTATTTTGAACCATTTGTAGTCTATAAATGGAGAATTAGGGTTAGCACAAGGAATAGGGTAACGGATTGTGGTTAGTGAAATAGAGATCACTTAGTAAGTAACGAAGTTTGTTAACCTTTTTGTTTTTACATTGTCTGCTTAAAATGCATCGCACAAACTGCAAGTCCCCATCCCAAAATGGATTCTGGTGTTTACAAGTCATGCTGTTCTCCCATGGACTATGACAAGAAAACAAGATATGCAGATATGATTCAAAGTGCCCTTCAGAACATGAAATATGAATAAACTGTCCATCTTATTGACCCTATAAGCAATGTGATGCCAAGTTGACATAGTCTTACAGAAAGGGAGAGAGAAAGATGGAGAGTTAGAGAGAGAGAGAGAGAGAGAGAGTGGGGGGGGGGGGGAGTTGGCACAGAGTTCGCACAAACTATCTCCATCCCAAAATATTGGTTCCAGTGTTTACGAGTCATGCTGTTCTCCCATGGAATATCTATAGCAAGATAACAAGATAACAAGATATGAAGATATGATTCAAACTGCTCTTTAGAAATTAATATATGAGTTTAATAATTGCCCATCGCGTTAACCCTTTTGATACTGTAATATCCGCAATGGGATCGGCCAGACCACGAGAAAATTGTAGAAAATTCACGAACTGTTTGTGCACGGTCATACGACACAGGTTCAAACGACAATAGCTCGAGTTAATGGCGGGCAATCCAAATTTTGTAATAAGTTACTTTTTATGAGAACAGAAAATGAGAGAAACAGAATGGCGAAAGTTTGAAATAATTCGGACCCGTAAATAAAGAGTTACTAATGTTTGAGATATGACAAACCCTTGTCAGTCACTGTGCTTCAAGGTACTATGTCTCATTTGCAGCCAACATCAAATTCTGTAGAACTTTGCAGAAATTATTAACATGTAACGTATGTCCTATTTGTGAAGGTTAACAGTGTCCTTTTTGTTTAAGGGGGGGGGGGGGCTACATCTGATTACGCAACTATAAAAGCGACCAAACAATATTTTTATCGAACTGCAAAATCACTATTTATTACACCCAGTTGAAAGTGTGCTTCCCTGCAAAGTCTTTAGTGGGAAAAGTTTGCTCTCTTGCAGACGATGAACTTTTTCTTGGTGGCGCCGAAATGCGGATCTGAAAGGGTTAAAAAATACTCTCGAACTTTTTGCTGTATATACTAGAAGTTGCATATGATCTGTATTTCAAAATGTCTGGTATTCTCCGGGTTAAGAATTTTGAATATACTTTGAACGACTCGGTTGCTTCCCAACTGATTACTTTATTTTTTAAATAATATTCAAACATTTCGTTGATTGGATGAAAAACATCAAGATAAGACATTTTAAAGACGTCATGACTAAAGTCTTTGCTCGATGGCTCAGCTCAGGGATGATAGCAGATGTTCCTTCTTGAATGGCATAAATACACCGCTGCTTCCACACTAAAACCATCTCATCTTCGGACTGCAAATAGACAAGCAACCGGTAAGTAGAAACCTCTCTTCGTGCATTTTCTGCTCGATCTGTGCTCTGCTACAGCCCACGGACCGGCAGCACAAGAGACCGACACTGAGCCCAGGAGACCCGCAACCCATGAGACCGACAGCTCACAAGACTGACAGCCCATGTGGCCGACAGTTCAAAAGACCGACAGTTCAAGAGACCGACAGCCCAAGAGACTGACCGTCTAAGATACCGACAACCCAAGAGACCGACAACCCAAGAGACCGACAACCCACGAGAACGATAGTCCAAAATATGGACAGCTCACGAGGTCGACAGCCCAAGAGACCGACCTGTCGGTCCGTTGGCCTTCTGATTTCTGACAACTTTTCTGAGGATTCATGAGACTGACAATGTCGGTCTCATGGGCTGTCGGTCCATAGGGATGTCTCGCCTCACTGAATGAGTGATTGAGGTGATCCTATATCTTGCTAGCCTCTCTGCAGGCCGAGTCGTACGTCACGAAGACGGCATATGCACGAAGGTGTCAGCAGGTTTTATTCTAGCTGCAATTGCTCCAGGCTGTTTTCTGTTCAAAATTATGTAGGGTTATAATAGGGTTAGGTTGATTTTAGATTTCGGGTAAGGGTTACTTTAAATTAAACATGAGCGGAAATCCATTTCCTTTCAAGTCATTATTAGGCCAAATTAGGGGTCACTTTATTTGGAGTAGAATCCGTATTCATATGAATTTACTCTCAAGAGAGTATTTCATCAACAGTGCTTTCGAGTAGTGGATCCTTCTGCAATGTAAGTGAGTCCTAATCGGAGCATTATCACCGCAGCATAGTTCATGGGCCGCGAAACCAGAGGGGAGGGGGAAAAAGATGGAGCTGCCGGGACGTACCCTGCACCTTTTTTTTCTTCCTGTGTGGTCAAAATAGTTAATGTTCAAACTTTAGAGTGCGAATTTTCTTCTTCTTTCTTTCGCAAAAATAAATGTAATTGTATACGAGTGTGTCGGTAGAATTCAAAGTTTGAACCCTCTGTTGGGGGGGGGGTCACAATGTCAGAGGTAAATATGGCAAGGATCGAGGGGTAATCCCTTTCAAAGAAAATGTCGTCTAGCAAACTCGAGAACTTAAAGAAGATTCTCAGGTTTCAGTGTACTTCATGGTGAAAATTGTTCAACATACTTGATGTTTTGTTTTTTTTAAACAGAAATCATGCGTGCCTTCCTAGTTCTCCTCCTCGTTGCTGCGGCCAACGCCGCTAGCCTTCTGAAGGCATCGGAACCTATTTTCGGCCAATACATCGTGAAGATCAAGGTAAAACTTTAGCTATACAGTGTGAGTCAAAAAGAAAGTTTACACTTAGAAAATTACTAATTATTTTAAAAATCATCTATGAACAGTAAATGATTATACATCTTATGAAAGGGTGTTTTATCCCAAATCATTTGGTATCATTTTTGTGTGGTATGTGTTCACGCTTGGATAAACAGGAGGCATCGTTTGCGAGAGTGCAAAAATCGATTTGCGCCAAAGTTGCTTGTGTGATGTTTGAACAAAGCAATTGGGATTTGGGTATTAATTCGGTCTTTGCAGATCCAAATAACATCCCTAAGAAAACTAATCATGCCACACATATCAAATATCGAATATTTAATATCAACGAACATTATTAAGTGCGCGCGTGTGTGTGACTTTGCTTCTGCAAAAAGCATAAATTATGCAATGCATTTCATTTGATACATTCAATTCATTCTCTCACTCCGCTAATTCCCAACATTATGCTGTAGGCATCACTTTGGCGCAAGTCGATATTTGCACTCATGAATACCTCATGTTCATCCAAGCGTGAACACATACCACACAAAAATGATACCAAATGATTTGGGATAAAACACTCTTTCAAAAGATATATAATAATTTACTGTTCATAGATTATTTTAAAAATAATTAGCAATTTTCTAGGTGTAAACTTTTTTTTGACTCACACGGTATATTATACAGGGTGGCCCACTAAAAAAAAAAAAAATTTCCTTTTGCGATCGTAATGTAGCATTAGTGTGTAGTAATTGGTTGTAATCGAAATAACGTTTCGTGTGCAAAATCCATTATAGGGATCTAGTCTCCCAAAATATAATAATACTTATAATGATAATGATAAAAATAATACTAATAATAATGAGAAGAAGAAAACAAAATTGCCCTATAATAATAATTTTGTTTACCCATGCAGGGAAGCCTCACCAGCGCCAATATGCGGTTCTTTCTCAGAACCCTACAAATAAATAACCCCAGTCATTGTCACGCACCCATTTAAACTTGGGTGAAGAGTGGTAAATGTGGATTAATTTCTTGTCAAACGATATCAGTTTTGGGCAGGGATTCGATCCCTCAACCCTTAGATTGAGAGTCAAGTAAATGAACCACTATGACACGACACCTCCGAATCGTTGGGCAAATTATCATTAATGGTTCAGAACATTTAGTTTTGTTTGATCCTGCATTCACTTTCTTCATTATCTTCTTGGATATTGTCATCATCTTCAGAGCCTAATACTTATAATCGGGTTTACTTGATTGTTTCCTTTAGTCGGACTTCGACGTCCAGTCCGTTCTGCCCACCGTTCGCCTCGCTGGTGGTCGTGTTGGACACGTTTACAATGCCGTCTTCAACGGATTCGCCGCCAAGCTATCCGAAAAGGTCCTCGATGCTGTGAGTATGAATATTATTTCTTTTTATGAGTTTCTATCTTATTTTAATGTGAAGTAAACGAAAGGTGTAATACCTGAGTTAAACAACCTAGACAGCTGCTGAACTCTCCGATAAAGCCCGGTTTAGAGTCGTGTTGGCGATGTGGCTGCGGTGTAAAACAAGCATTATTGAGTATATTTATCCTGTAACTTTATTTGATGTTTACGTTCGGCTGCAAGACCGTTATTTTTAATAAACCCTTATCGAATTGAATTATGAAACGGTATAGGTCCTCAATCTGCCCGCTGTCGAGTACGTAGAAGAGGACGGCGTTGTACGCACTCAAGCTGTTGGATCATGGGGTCTTGATCGTATTGATCAGGCCAATCTCCCACTAGACGACTCCTACGACTCTACCAAACGAGGTAAGAAGGGATTTCATTTATTTTGTTGTTGATGTTCGTATCGTAGTTGTTCTTGTTTGGGAAATGTTTCGATTTTAGATGAATAACAGATCCATTAATTTTGTTGTTGATGTTCATGTCGTAGTTGTTTTTGTTTGGGGGTATGTTTAGATTTTAGATACATTACTTAGTGCTATGACGGGCAAGCATAAGTCAAGCTTTCTAGTTGTGAAGAACAACCTTTGTTTCAAGAATTCTCTTCCGAACCTCTTCCTAGCTACATGTCATGTTATGTGAGGAAGAAGGGTGGTTATAAACTATTCTTGGTGTTTTGATATCATCTTTTAATAATTAGGTACCAACGGAGCAGGTTACAATGTTTACGTGATCGACACTGGTATCAACCCAACGCACAACGACTTCGGCGGACGTGCGGTCACTGCCTGGTCCGCCATGGCTAGAAGCGTAAGTCATACAAATTAATACAGTCGAACCTGTCTATTAAGAACGCCCAGGCGCGTACGCAGGGGTGGGGGGTGGGGGTTAACCCCCCCCCCCCCCCCCATTTGATTTTGATTTTTTTGATTTTTTTTTTAATTTTTTTTTATAATATATAAAATTTAAAAAAAAAAAAAAAAAAAAAAATTATTCCTACGGCCGACCTAAAAAAGGTGACCTTACCCCCCCCCCCCAACTGAGCAAAATGTCAAATTTCAAAATTTCGAGACCAATTTTTTTTAAAAAAGTGTCCTCTTACCACCCCCCCCCCCCCCCCCCCCCCCCCCCTTGAAAAAATCCTGCGTACGCGCCTGAGACCGCCCAAGGGAAATATAAACTGTGGCCAATGTAGACATGAAGGAGCATTTTTAGACAGGTTCCTACTAAGACATGCTTGACTGAATTTAAAGATGAAGTTGAGTTCTGGTCATGCGATTGCATTGTGAAAGTAACGGTGTGGAACCGACCAGAAAAGGTTGATCATCTAGCATGTGTGTATTGCAAGGTTCTGGAATCATCAAAATGATAAGAAATTTGGCCAAGTCTTGGTAAAGTTACAAACACTTGCACAGAAAGATGTATATGGGACTACACGAACACGTGGCGTAAAAAGCCGGCCCCCGATTTTTACGATGTTACATGCATATTTAGAATATGAAGGCATTTGAAGAGCCATGCTTTTCAGGGAACATGTCTTAACTGATGTTCTTCCACACTTGCATAATAAGAATGAGTAATGCTCACAAATTATTTTTCACCTCTTCCCAGAACTCAACCTTCTCTTTAAATATGAAAATGAATAGTAAATTGAAAGGAAAAATAAACAAGTAAAACAGAAACTGTCGCGTCCATAACTGTTTGCAGAATTCCTGAAAATAGCCGTAATTCGCGAAAGTTTCTAGTCGCAGTAGGCCATCATAAATCATGTAAAGGAAATTAAATTTGCCAAAATTTAATTATTGTTGTTCTTGATGCATTTTCGTGAAATAATGTTGGAGACTTCCACTGGCCTGGTATAGTGCTCCTCTCAGAGAATAACGTATTATTGTGTAGTTTCAGAAATGGTATTATTCCTGAGCTTTGAGCAAATATGTAATAAACGTCAGATTGAACACAAATATAACAATTATACACACATTTTTTTCGGGCGTTTTTAATGACTTGTTAAAGATAGTTATGAAATTATACGAATTGTTTAAAATGCAGTTTCATTGATACTACCAACAATTTTATGAAAAAATAATTGATACTACCAACAATTTTATGAAAAAGTAATCATCTTTTTGTTTTATCATATTGAGTTTGTGTTGCGTATATTTATCCTAACAGGAAGATTGCAATGGACACGGAACTCACTGCTCAGGTACTGTAGCAGGAACCGAATACGGAGTGGCGAAGGGAGTCAATGTCTATGGCGTCAAGGTTCTAAATTGCTTCGGTAGTGGGTCATGGAGTGACGTCATTGCTGGTACGTTTTCAGTCATTTATCGGTAACGTTCGGCACTTGTAATTCGTAAACTTGAGTTTACGAGTTGATTTTTTTTTCTATAATTCTGTCAGTATGAAAGAATCACGACAGACAGCGCCGTTGAACGTAACTTCCTTTAATATTTACGTAGGCCCTACATGTAAATGTTTTATAATTGTTTTTGATAATTGTTTTACATTACTGCTAAGAAAGCATGTTTATGCTTGTATCAAAGTAAACAGCCACGGGGACTGACGGCTTTAAGTCCACTCCGAGGGACTTGGTATTGAGGATTAATGCCTCGATCACCGAAGGGCGCATTGACTTGGTTTCGAATCCGGGACCTCCCGGTTATGAGACCAGAATACCATAGCGTCCCATTAATGGACTCCTATTGTATTTTATAAAAGCATGGAAATTAGCGTATATAATGCTCAACTTCGTTAACCAAATGGTGTTTCCTTCTTATTAGGTGTCGATTGGGTTAGCGCAAGTGGTGCTAGGCCAGCAGTTGCATCGATGTCTCTTGGTGGTGGCTATACCGATTCCTTAAACGAAGCTGTTAAGAACTTAGTCAACAGTGGTGTCCAAACTGCCGTCGCAGCTGGCAACGACAACAGTAATGCTTGCAACTATTCTCCAGCAAGCGAGCCTGAAGTGAGTAAATAGAAGGCCTTTTTAAAATTTCGTGTAACTCGTATTTTTAAAAACTTTGCACCACGTAAAATATTGAACCTAGTTATGTTATGTTTTGTAAAGTTCGGGATAAAGGCGCGTTGTCCATTTTTTCTTCAAAAAGTGTGATACTGGTATTGACGAAAATATCCATATCCTGACATTCTTATCAGCATCGTAATTTGTAACATTATAAAATGGCTCCGACACACACAAAACATATATATATATTATATAGGCGTGAAGAAAATGGTCTAGGAACGTGAGACGTAGCTTTAATTTAATTTCCTATATATATATATATATATATATATATATATATATATATATATAGGAAATTAAAATAAAGGAATTAAAAAACATCACCAGTTAGTTAATGTTAATATAATACGTGTTATGTGTCAAATTTACAGACTTGTTAATCAGGAACATAACCTGATCCTGGGTCCGTTTTGCCGTCCTTAGCCCCCTTTCTTTTCCTTACAAACTAGGATTTGTCGTGAAGAAAATAACTGTTTGTTTTTTTTAGCTATACGTGTATTACGTGTATAATACAGCTCGGTTGTTCGTATTATTTGATTTGTATCCCCTTTGCTATCATTTCTATATGTTCAGGTACTTTCTGTTTTACAAGTCTTGTGCTTTTATATCCTTTCATCTATCTCTGTTGCCAAATTGTGTATTTATGACTGTTGTTTTTACATTGTTCGATGATAAATGAATTGAATTGAATATACCATTTCGTAGTTAGTAAATGGATAAAATGACCCCAAATATCCACAGATCTTTAAGTGTATTACAGTGTATTTTAGATTAATCAATGCCAAAGTCATGTATGTGCTTCATGAAAAGCTTTTGTTTGCCCTGTTGTATCATAGAAAGTACCGCAGGTGCAACACATGAATAATGATTACATAATACATACCATGAGCACTTATTCAACTCGATGGGTTTTACAATTTTATCAGAAATGACCTTTATCTGCCCTATCTGCCCATGCGCAAATAGTATTTACGAAATGGCTTATTCAAGAAGAAGAAAAAAATGAATTCAATCGGAAGTATAAACATCAAAGAAAAATCGAACGAATAAAATATCAATAACAAAAAGGAAACGGAGAAACCCCTTTCAAGTTACGCAAAGGCCTTATCGGTTCGAGACCCGCCGCGGCACTAATGTCCTTTGGCAAGACATTAATCTACATTTGCCATACTCCACCCAGGTGAGGTAAATGGGTACCCGGTAGGAAGAAATTCCTTGAATGCTTAAGCGCCTTTTCATGCTAGCTCGGTGAAAGCCGGTGTATACAATTTGCAGGGCCCTCAGGGAGAACAGGCTACCCTGCATGGGTAAACGAGACATTATTATCAGTATTATTATTGTTATCAATTTTTCACCTAATACGGCCTGCTAAATTTGTGATTTGCTCATCACAGGCTGTGACGGTTGGGTCAACCACGAGCACAGACGCTCGTTCTTCTTTCTCCAACTATGGAAATTGCGTGGATGTCTTTGCTCCAGGTAGTTCCATCACATCCGCATGGTACACCTCCAACACAGCCACCAATACCATCAGCGGAACGTCCATGGCTTGCCCTCATGTTGCAGGTAATACCGCGGACTAAGCATTACGGTATTACGCCCTCAAGTAGTCCAGAATCTGGCCGATTTATCTGTTTCAATCTCCACTATACCTATCTTTTGATTTACATGTCTCTGTAGATCACATGATTTGCATGAGTCCCATGAGACTCAATATTGTCCTTTGGCAAGACAGACATTAATCTGCATTTGGCACTCTCCACCCAGGATCTAAATGGGTAGGCCTATACCCAGTAGGATGCGAACATTGATGTGGTTGGATTCGCATGATAATTGTGTGCGCTCGTAAAATGGCGCCTGGCCAGAATAATCAAAAGGGAAAGGAACGTGTGCATTATTGTGTGTGGATTAGCAATTGAATCTAGTGATAATTTAATAATTACAATGTAAAGTGCTTAGAAACGTAATATTGTGCCCTCTATATAAAGCAAACAATGCCTAATCGATGACCATTGTTCCCCATGGTCCCCTTTTTCTTATGTTAATAAAGAGCTGATTTGATGAGATAACCACCTGTCAGTGACCAGGCAGGGAGGTCTAATCCCTCCTGGTCAAGTAGTGCAGATAGGCTTTAATTCAAATAGTTCCCCATTCTGTTTTCAGGTGCCCTTGCTATCTATGGCATACTAAATGGGAACGATGGTGAAAGGGCAGCGGCCGCTCTGGTCAATGAGGCTACCTCGGGTGTCGTAGGAAATCCAGGCTGGAACTCTCCCAACAAGTTGCTCTATGTCTAGTCTGCACAGGTGAGTACAGGCAGGGGGTAGACTCTGGATTCTGAAAAGAAAGGGGACCCCAAAAAATTGTCGCCAATACAGGGGAGTGTTTCACAAAGACTAAGATCGAGTTTAAGTTGGACTTAAATAATACAGGCCATTTATGCCACTGGTTGCTCTAACCATTGGTCTCTCAATAATTATGATCTTTAGAAAATATTTTTTCCTTCAATAATGAACTATCAAAAAAGCTGAATTCACTAGATGTGTGACCATGATTTTGTACGTCCATTGAGAGACCATTGACAGTAAATGGTGAGAGCAAACAGTGGCATGAATGGCCTGTCATAGTTAAATCCAACTTTGTGAAACACTCCCCATGTATAATGTTTATCACATCCTTTAGTTGTTCAATGATCAGGTGACAGGTGCCTTTAGGGGTCTACAATAATTATTGATTACCTTTAAACATGATCTCAAAGTATTTGGAGAAATCAAACTTTGGCAATTTCAAAAGCCCTGTCCATTACCTCTAAATGCATGACCCATGACCTTTACAACTATTATGCAATCCGAATATGATTTTCACAGGCAATACAAAAAGGTCAAATATAATTGATTCCGAGTCTTGTCTGTTTGTTGAAGAAAGTACGATTAAAAATAATCAATCAAACACAAATTGACAGCGCTGTGGGACGCCCTCTCACAAAGCTCTATACGGTACATGTCAATTTTATTAGTCGTTGATAAAGGAATAAGTTTGAATAAGAAAGGATATGTTAAATGCTAGCTCCGAAAGGGTTGAACAGTATCAGAATATTAAAGAGAAAGTAGGTATATTACAATATAACAATAGGAAATATAGAGTGGTTTATACAAGACTGAATATCTTTTCTTACTTTTTAGTCATTTATTTTTTCCTGTCTTGGGGTGGAACATCCTAGCACCAAAAGATGATTTCTAACAGCAAAAAACCCATTGTGTATGTGACGGTGTGTGTGTGTGTGGGGGGGGGGGGGGGGGCGGTGTGTGTTGGGGGCGATGGGTGTGTGTGTGTGTGCGTATGGATGTGTGTTGTTGATGTTGATGTTGTTGAGATGACAACCATTCTCTCTTCACATTCACTTAAATCTATCCTTGTGTTCTTTTTTTTCCCTCTCAGGTCCTAACCACCGTGCTAAGCTCAAGCGGACTTTCTACCAACTAATCACTAATTGGATGAAATGACCCTGACAGTGAAATAAATGCCGTTCTTATAACTTTAAGACATTAACATAAAACCAATCTTAATAAAGTGCAATGAATTATGACGCCATCGTCTGGCATTATCAAATCAAAGTCATTTATGTTTTGTCTGTATCAGAATTGCTTGACAGTTCTGATCGTTAACGTAATACTGACTTTAATAAAGTTCGCTTGTACCTCAATCGCATCAGCATTATTTACAGTGTGATTTTTGTCTTTTTACATTTCCTACATAACCACTAACCGCCTGAGGGGTTGCCCTAAAGAAAATACCCTCACATCACTTGGGGGTGCCTTTTCACACAAAAATTAGCACATCCATACCAACTGAGCACCCCAGCAACGACTGGTTTTCGATGGGGAATGCAGGCACCCCCGGTATCCCTATATCCGGCCCTATATTATAGCTTTCGTGATCAAACAATCGTATGGGGATGACTTTGGTGTTAATAATGTTGATGAAGGAAGCGGCCATGTTGAACATTGATGATGATGTGGTTGCCGCTGATGGTGATGATGATGATGATGATGATGATTGTGATGATGATGGTGGTGAAAAAGATGATGATGTTGGTGATGAAGACGATTATGATGATTGTGATACTGATGTAATAGAAATGATGATGATAATGTTGATAATATAGTGATGAGGATGATAATGATGACGATGATGATGATGATGATGATGACGACGATAATGATAATGATGATGCTGGTGGTAGTGATGAGTCCACCAACAATATCAGAATATCAAATGATCCTATATTATACACTCTTCCAATAGTATACCACGTCAGCTCGAAATCGTGATACATGATGTAGCATAGTTTCCTTCATTATACGGCCACCAAAATATTATTATATGGAACGCCCTCCAGTTTTAAGTCCTTACCCCCAGTTTTCTTAACCTTATTAAGCAAAGACCATGGGCGGCGATCCAGGGAGGGGACGGGGGACACGGACATTTTGCACAACTGGAGGGCCCAAGAGTGCAGCGTTAAGACTAATACAAATACAAAAATCTTCTCGCTCGGTCGCTACGCTCACTCACATAATATTCTTCAAAATGTACGAGTAAATATTGTAGAAAATCTTTATTCCTTTGGCATCATCGTGTTACCAATCGAGTACAGATTTTCCCTCGCATTTCGCCCCCCCCCCCCCCCGGTTATGAAAAGACATCGCCGTCTCTGCTAAAGACACACCTCTTCAATAACCGAGTTTTAATTTTTTTTGTTTTGTTGTTCTCTTGTTTATCCTTTTTTATAATCTTAATAGGTCTATGTTGAGTGCACTTAGCAATATTTCAATGGATGTTGCGATACATAAAGATTTGTTTTAAAAATTATGTACATAATGAATATCATGATGCTACCGTAAATTATCCAGGCGACTGTATATGCATTTGTGTCTTTTCTTTGTAAAGAAGCTTATTTGCTTTGGAAAGAGCTTGAAAAGAATGTTAACAAATATTTCATGTCTAATTTTCAATTCAAACCATTTTACTTCATGGTTTCGACTTCGGTTTAAAAAAAAAAGGAAAATGATATTGATATAAATTTTAATTATGCAATTTTTACAATTATCAAATGATAGTACGGAAGCGATAAACAACATTTATAGAAAAGTCGCTTAAGATGACAGTTGCATATAACGGAAAACAAAATAGCATAAAACTGAAAAGTCAGGCGGATTTTCTAGTGTAGTACCAGCCCCAGCTATCTTCATCATTCATAAACGTCATCATACTTCAATTAAATTCCAATCATAGAATTGGTGTGTTGTTGAAACGCATACTCTGACCTGAATATCAAACCAAGGACTCCTTGATCAAACAAAACGTGCTTGAATCCTTTGGGCCGCTAGGGCTATTCAAATATTTATTTCCATATTTGACAATCAACATCGTTTCATAATTATTTGTTGGCATCTGTGTATAATAATTACACAATAGCATCGCGGAATAGTGAATCTACACAAAGGAAATCCAAATTTAACCCCCGATCTCAAGAAGTTATTGAGGTATTCTGTTGTGATCTTTTTAGGTCAAGTTAATTTCCAAATGTGATTGCAGGTGATGGAGAATTTTTTTAAAGCAGATGTTTCTGCATTTATTAATAAATCAAATAACCCCCCCCAAAAAAAAAAAAAAATAAAATAAAATAAATAAATAAATAAATAAATAAATAAATAAAAATAAAATAATAAAAAAAACTAATAAAAATAAAAAAAATAAAAAAAATAAATAAATAAAAAATAAATAAATAAATAAATAAAATTATTTAAAAACAGGTAAAAAAAAATAAAATAAATAAAATAACAATAATAATATATCATATAATTGATTTACATAAATAGTAACAACTGAAACACACACACATAAAAATGCATATATATATATATATATATATATATATATATATAGTTGAAAACTTAAAAGTATGGAGGTAAGTCAAAGAATCAAGATAAATGCAGAGACCAATTATTATTAAAAGCATGAATGTTTGAGTCGATAGCATGTTAAAGGTAAAGACCAGTATTGGAAATGCCCCAATTTCAAAAAATGAAATGGAAGCTCTCATTACCAATCATGTGAAAGAATATGTTTTGACTAATGCATGATGATAAAAAAATTTGCCGGGAAACCGCCTACTAATTCATAATTTGTTAAATTTGTTTCTCTCATGGACTGTGAGAGATATAGGGTAGTCCCATATACATGTTTTTGTGTATAGTGCTTGTAACTTTACGAAGAATGGGCCAAATTTCTTATCATTTTGATGATTCCAGAACCTTGCAGATGCTAGATGCTAGATGATCAACCTTTTCTGATCGATTCCACAACGTTTCTTTCACAATGCAATCGCATGACCATAACTGGTCTTTACCTTTAATGTTTTTTTCTCCCTCGAAAGACATATACTTGCCTGGGAATATTGGGTTGACCAATAGGCCGTTTTCGTAATGTAATTTAATTGCATGCATAACCTATGTTAGGTGCCTCGATCGTTATATACAAATTATTTCATTCACCTGTTAGGAATAATTGCATTTCAATAGTCAGAATGCGAATTCAATATATTACGTGTTGTTATATAAGTAGGGCAATCCATATTAATTGTCCTACCTAGCAACAGCTAATCTATGCAATTTGCATTATGACTATCGAAATACATTCGTAGCAACTAACAGGTGAATAAAATAAGTTTTTAACCAGGCCCTTAAAAACGACTTATGTATTAAACTTGATTGCATTACGAAAATAGCCAGCTGTTATTAGAACTTTCAGAGTGTTATGTGCATTCGTCACTTTTTGCCATGTTGCCCATAATTCATGCTGCGCTGTATTTTGGTTTTCTTTTTCAAACTTGATTCTTCTATATATTTTGATGTTGAGTGACCTATATAGTGCCCGTTATTTCAGAAAAGTTGAAGTTTGGGTCACTTTTATTGAGAGCATTTAAATTTATTAGAAAAAGTGATGATGGGCTAGCCGGTAGTCTGGGGATATAAGATGAAAAAGGGAAAATTACCCAAAACACTATAGAGAAACGGATGAACACAGAAAGAGGGAGAGAGAAAGGACAAAAAGAAGATAGACAAGCATACTGGCTGGAAGAATCGAAAGTATCTACGCTTAAATTAAGCGATAGAATGAGAAATGAAATAGAAAAAGAAATACATTTACCTAATTATACAGGTTATATACCTGGCGAAATAAAGTCGTGAAGGTGAAGGAAATAACGGTTTCTCGAGTTGACGGTCTCGTTGATCGACTGTCGGTCTAATGACCTCCTGAAACGGGAAAAAGGGCAAGAGACCGTCAATTTCGGCAGCTGAACCTGCCACCCATAGGCCAGAGGTAACAAGGGGGGGGGGGGGGGGGGGGGGGGGGGAGGATATATCGCAAAATATTCCTCACATGTGGACAAAGTATCATTTTCTCTTTAACTACTATATTCTCATCAATCAAAATGAACGATCTCGTCAATTCGTACTTTGAACTACAAGATTTGGTTCCAACTGGCCTGGATTTGATTTGTTCTAAAAAGTAGTCCCCAGTTTTAAAATTCTGTTATAATAATTAATTTTGTTCAAAATACTAAGGTAAAAACCATTGTTTATATCACATTTTGTCATTCTATAAACGTATATATTTTTTTAGAGCAACTTTTGCTTCAGATTAGCATTCTCGTACTTATTAATAATTTACAAGTAGGTATAGTTAGCTTTTCCCCAAAAAATGTCTGAAAACACACACTACAGTATTGCGTAATTTCTTCCTGTTTGTACGAGCAGAGTTCACTTGCTAGTCTTGTCAATATTCTCTTACGACTTATAGACTGGTTTCCTTCCAAAATTCATAAATAGGATTAAAAACGAAGCAAAATTAAATGTTTTGATTTATTCACATTTTTAATTTGAAATAAACATATATATTGATTTCGGAATTAAACCTGAAAAAATAGTAGTTTAGCCATTATTTCGAAGTTATAATAGTACCGAGTCTGTGTAGAGCGCCTAGTTCAGCGTTTTCGTTATGCGATGCGTTTGCATGATCTCCCTAGCCTAGGCCCTGCACGTAGTATTAGCATTGTCCTTTTGCCTTCTCGTACCGTTTACATGCACAATCCGGTGACTTGGTCACACGAAGAAACGGAGGGATTTGAACCTTTAAAAACGATCCACAATGTCGATCAGTAGCCAGCTTGTAACATGGGCTTTTGCCAATCCAATCCTTTTGGCATTTTGCCTCTTTGGAGCTCTATTGGCCATTTTTGTGGTAGGACTTGTGTCAAAATTGAAACCCGGTCCAAACCCTTTTGCTGAGGACTGTGCCCGGCCTCCAGCCCCGATGGTTGCCGACAGCTCCGCTCGGGACAAAGTTATCAAGCAAGGTAAATTTAGGTCGTTGCTTATCTCGCTTATCTGGCCGTTTGTTTGTGGATTTCGTCTTTCTTAGTGTCAGTAGTATTTCAGTTTTAAGTCAGGTTATCTTGTGTCTTGAATTGTAAATTTGGGAGCAACTTTGAAACATTCCACCACAAAACTAAGACATCATTTAAGTCATCAACTGACATCATCAAGACCATGAAGACGTAGATCTAGACCCAAAATTCTGTGTCTTTTGTTCGTAAGCCTCTGATTTAGCATTAGGTAGGGTCTGCTCCTCTCTTTAGAGACTTTCTGCTA